GCCTCTGCCTGCCTGCACGTCCCGGGCGCTCGAGCTCGGTGTCCCCTTCTGAGTCCCTGGGGTGGAAGGGGCGTCTCCACAGACAGGAAGTGGGTGCCGCCTCCCGGGGCTCTGAGGTCGCCCTGGGCCTTCCCCTTCCAGCCTCTCCGTGGGAGAGGACGCGGTCAGCGTGACTGCCACGCGTGCCTGCGGAGACAGCGGGAACCCCACCGCGCGTGTTTGTACCCGAGCCTCGGAGCCGGGCGCCTCTCAGTTCGTTTCCGTCTTTCAGGGAGCGCGTGTCAGGACTGTGCGAAGAGGAAGTTAGAAGAGAACGGAATCGAAGTGTCCAAAAGGGTCCGACAGCCAGACGCCGGTACTGCGCCCCTCGCGTCCGCGGACTGTGGCCCTGGCGGGTGGCGTCCACGCATGTTGTGTTGGTGCAGAGAGCCCTGAGGGGCCTGGGTGTGGCGCGTCAGTAACAGAAAACACCCCACCCCCATGGCAGGGCGGCCATGTCCACTCGCGTGGGGGCACCACGTGACCACGCAGCTGGGGAAGCCACACCCCCTTCCAGCCACTCCTCCCCCCAGGTGATGGCCGTGACGGCTGCCCCCTCGCTCCCCTGCGTCTCCGTCACGGAGTCGCTCAGGTCACCTGCCCCTCCCCCCGTCCACACCTTCCTGCCAGGTGCTGAGATCCGACTTCCCACGGTGACGGCCCCGCCCTGCCCCCGGAGCCCCCGGCCTGCACGACATCCATGTCCGTCTTGGCTTCCACCGCGGAGATGGGCTCAGGCGGGAAGAGCGCTGTTACAGCAGTGGTCCTCTGGGGGGCCGCCCGGTGCTGTAGCGCCCAGGCCAAGTGTGGCGTCCCCGTACGTGAGAGGTAGACAGACGGCGCCCCCTCCGCCAGGCGCCCACACAGCCAGAGCAGGCCACGCTGAAGCCGGGAGCCGGGCGTCTGCGTGGACAGGAGGCTTGGTCGCTCGCGCTCCGGGGCCAGGTGCCGCCCCCAGTTCACTGAGGCGCGTGTGTGCTCCCCTCGTCAGGTGCCTGCCCGGCCCTGTTCAGAAAACAGCCGTGTCGCTCCGTTCCTGACCGGCACCGGGGTGCCCTCCTCAGGCCGGCGCCCGCTGCTTCCTCGTGCTGTCCCTGCCCGTCGCGCTGGCGCCCGCAGACCCCAGGCTGGGGCGGCTGCCCACTCGCTGGCGCTGATGGCGCTGCCCTGGGCGCCCGCTGCGCTGCGGGGTTCTCGGGCTGCACCTCCCTTGGCGTTTGGAAGTTCCGTGTAGAACGTTTTATTCGCCTTCTCAGTTTGCGGTTGCTTTTTAAAATTGTTACTAGTTTTTAAGATTGACTGGCTTATTGGAGAGTTGGTGTTAGAGGGAGAGAGCGAGCCGCTGGTTCACTCCCCAAATGGCCACAGCGGCTGGAGCTGAGCAGATCAGGAGCCTGTTCCGGGTCTCCCACGCGGGTGCAGGGCCCAAGGCCTCGGGCCTCTTCTGCTTTCCCAGGCCACAGCAGAGAGCTAGACTGGAAGTGCAGCAGCCGGGGCTGGAACGGGCGCCCACATGGGATGGCGGCACCGCAGGCCGGGCTTTACCCGCTGTGTATGGCGCAACGCCGCCCAGTGGTGGTTCTGTTTTGGTTTTCTCTGGTTCAGGAATAATCTGACTTCCTTGCTGTTTTTTTCCTGTCGTCTTTGTCCCCAAGATGCACCCTGGCCGGCATCTCCCGGGCTGGTGGGCTGTCTACGACTTTGTGTGTTCTCTCCCTGTCCGCCTCCGCTGTCCCCAAGGCCATTCTGGGGGTCTCAGGGTTGCGTCCTCGTCCTCACAGCTTTGCTGTGCCGAGAGCCCAGGCCCCCGAGAGCTCTGGTTTGTGCCGCGGGCTTTCTCCCTGCGCCTCCTGTGCTAGCCCGAGACCTCTGGGCCCGGGGCCTCCCTGGTCATCTGTGCTGGGACCTCCCACTCGGCCTGCACACAGCGCTGCCGTCCCCTGGGAACTGGCGAGACGGGCAGCCTGGGGCCCTCTCATTCCCATTCCCTCCTGGCGAGGCTGGGCATCCCTTGTCTAAAACCCCCAAATGCCCACATTTCGGTTTCAGACTTTGAGGTTAAGGGTGCTCCAGTCAGTAAATGAGCGGAATTCTGTGGAAATCCTCCAGGCCCTGCGCGGACACGCGGTGTGTGCTATGCCTCCCTTCCACCAGGGGGCACTTGCCTGTTGCCCTGTGCTGTTGTGCAGATGCAGACCAGATGCGAGCAGTTACAGACAGACGGCCAGGTTTATGCTGGTTCACTCACGAAATGGCTGCAAGAGCCAGAGCTGAGCCAAGCCGGAGCCAGGAGCCAGGAGCCTCCTCAGGGCTCGAGGGTGCAGGGGCCCAAACAGTTGGGCCGCCCTCCGCTGCCTTGCCCAGGCCACAGCAGGGAGCTGGATGGGAAGAGGAGCAGCCGGGACTCGAACCGGCGCCCACAAGGGGTGCTGGCGCTGCAGGGGACGGCTTTACCCTCTGCGCCGGCCCTGTTCCTTGTTTTGTCGGGCACAGGCGGTCCTGTCTCGTGGTCCTCGCTTTCCTGTGGCTGTGGCTCCTCCATTGCCGGCAGATTCCTCTCGGCACCCGGCGTGCTGCCACCGTCCTGCCGTGGCCCATCTGCGTGGTGCCGTGTGCATGTGGGAGGCAGGGCCGCCGCCTGGTGGGCTCACTACAGAGCAGGGCCGGGCGTCTCCGCGGACGCCGGCCCCCGTGCCCGCAGCCCTGCTGTCCCCAGGCGGTCGGAGCTACTGGGGCAGAGGCCTCGGTGTCCTTGGTGCAGAAGCCGTGGCTCTGCTGAGAGCCACCTGGTAGCACTGCTGGCCCCTGCGGCTGCGGCGGACCTGACGGCTCCGTGCACCGTGAGCTCACTCCGGGCTGCAGGCCTGAGCCGTGTGCGTGCGCTGCCGTGTCCTCGGGCCACTGGGGCGCGTCGGAGTGAGATGTGCAGAGCCTGGCAAACCCGTGGTGTCCCCCCAGGGCCCCGGCGGCGTCTGCACAGGGTACCAGGCCCCCACGTACGGAAACAGGCAGCTTCCCAAGTGCAAGCCTGGTGCAGACGGCCTTCCTGAGGCCGGCCTTGAGTGTCTGGTGTTTGTTTCAACAGATGATGCCGGAGGGTCCTGAAACCTTTAAGACCAGTACAGCCTGCAACCGGAAAACCAGCCTGTCACCACTGTGCCACGCCACACCGCGGAATGTACCGGGAGCCCCGCCCGGCCTCCCGCCACAGCCCCCTGGGTGTGTGCAGTTACGTGGAAGGTGACTGGACACACTCCAGAGACTTGGTAAGGACGCATGGACAGCTACCTCAGGGGCCAGGCCCGTGGGCAGGGACGTCCCTGGTATTCCTGACGCCCACCTGATGCAGCCTGGTGCCAAGATGGCGGAGACTGTCCCGGCAACAGGAGCTGCCGGAGGGAAACCAGCAACTGGACACTCCCGATTTCCTGTGGGAACTGTCACGTGGAACGCGTCCTAAAGGTGGATTTGTCGTGTTAAATAAGGAACCGGCGGGCACACGGGCGCTGGACCTGCCAGTGACAACGAGAATGTCTTTGTACTTCTTGGGAATTGTGTCATTTTAGTAACTTCTTCCAGAGACACGACAGGTCCAACTGTCACTCCGAAGTGCGAGTGCGCGGACGAGCCAGGGGGCTTCCCCGAGTCCAGGCGTTGCTCAAGTCCAGTGTGGGACAAATACGGTGGGGACAAGACCTACACGTGAAGCTTTTAGATAAGTGCCAGGCTTTCCGAGTCTGTGCTGTGGGCGAGCGCTGCCCTTCCTTACCCCGTACAGTTCTCTTCCCATAGCTGTATTTAGGGGGCGCAGAGTGAGGGCGGCAGACCTGTGGCAGCCTCCACATGGATACGTGACCGGGGCCTTCGCCGGGGCATGGCAGAGGGTCACGGCAGGTGCCTCCCGGGACGGCAGCACCGTTCTGGTGACTTCTCTCGCCAAGCCCTGCAACACTCCCATCAGTGGCACTGCGCCTCCCTCAGGCCCAGAAGTTTAGAACAAGAGACATGAAGGTTGGGTGAGGGTGTCCAGGGAGTGAGCAGCCAGGGGCCTGCTGGAGTCCACCCCCACCCCTTTGTTGGAAGCATGGAAAACAAGTTGTCTTTTGATGTTACTTTGGCCATAAATAAAACTTAGCATATGGGCTTGTTTATTGTCTCAAACTGGAATAGTTACTACGCGTTTGCATAGATTTATTTGGAAAGCGGAGTGACTGCTGGTTTGTTCCTTGGATGCCTGGGACAGCTGGGGCTGGGCAGGCTGAAGCCAGTGGCTGGCTCCATCCGGGTCTCCCACATGGGTGCAGGGGCGTCCTCCCAGGCGGTAGCAGGGAGCAGATCAGCGTGGTGCGGCTGGGGTGGCGCTGGCGCTCCTGTGGGCTGCTGGCCCGGGTGCCTCCTGTAGCCCTCACAGGTGTGCTGACCCCGCACGGGCTGAGTGTGCTTGGTGCCCAGCCACCTGTGGCCGGAGGGACAAAGCCGGCAAACGCCGAGCAGCCCCCCGGGACTCCTTCGCTGCATTTTGAAGCTCGCCCTCTGCCCGTCCCGCAGGTGGATGTCAGCGCACACAGTGCGGTGTTTGTGGGCTTCTCACCCACCTAGCGTGCAGAGCCGGCCCTTTTCCACTAACTTCCTTCTTTGTTTTGCCCCCAACCACCATGGTTGTGGTGTGTGCGTAGCCTGTGGGAGTCTGAGTTAACGCAGGAGCCAGGGCCGGCCCTAGAGAGGCGACAGACTCCAGTGTGGCAGCAGGTGACTCCTTGGCCATGCCCACATGGGTGGCTGCTGCCACCCCACTCAGAGCGAGCTTGCAGCGCACCGAAGGTCCCTGTCCACGGAGGGGAGTGTGCATTACTTCCTGAGGGGGCCCTCCCCTCCCACACCCGCTGCGTCTCGGAAGTCAGCTGTTACTCCCAGCATCAGACAAACCTAAAAAATGTATTTGGTTCTAAAGCTGCACAGTGGAGACCTCTGAGATTACGTTTTTATTGCTAGTTCAGTGTCACCATGCAGTTCCTCAAACCTCCCATAAAACCAGCTCCGACACCTGACTCCCCTGTAACCGCCGTCACTTGTAACTGAAGAATCAAGTGTTTTTCCCTTAAAGGTACCAGGCGAGATGACACGGACCTCCGTGTTCTGACGGGCTTGTTTGAGAACGAGGTTTTTAGGGGCGAACCTCATTCAGTGCCGTCAGGCACCTGCGAGCGTCGGCACAGCAGGCGGGAGCCTGGGGACGGCTCCTAACGGGACTCGTGCTGCCTCCTGCCGCCCTCTTGGCCGTCCGTGTCTGGATACTGAGAGAGGTCGAGGGTCAGGACGCGACTGAACATGCAGTCGTCTTGCTGGAGTGGAGAGAAGGCAGAAGTCAGTGCCCTGCTGGGGACGCGTCTCAGTGAAGGGGCAGCCTGGATTCACCTCACAAAGGGGGCTTCCTGCTCCCCACTCCCCCCAGCTGCCAGGTACCAACATGGTAGCCAGGTTTTACAGTCCTGTGGTGTGAGAATATCTTTTTTTTTCTTTAAAGGAATCATATTTCTTGAAAGGCAGAGCTACGGAGAGATCTTGCATGTGCTGGTTCACTCCCCAGTAGGCCGCAGCAGCCAGGGCTGGGCCAGGCCAAAACCAAGAGCCAGGAACAACTTCCGGGTCTCCTGTGTGGGTGCAGAGGCCCAAGCACTTGGACCACCTCCCACTGCTTTCCCAAGTGCATTAGCAGGGAGCTAGACCGGAAGTGGAGCAACTGGGACTGGATGGCAGCCGTGTTAGCCCACAGCGCCAGCCCCGAGGGTGTCCATTTCTCATGCACCGTACTCTCAGCTGGTCCCCGAAACAGCCACGCCGAGGGCACCAGACTACGTTTTTATCTTGGCAAAAAGGAAACCTCAAGAAGGAAAAGCTGTCAGCGCTGAGCGGCCTGGGCCGTGTCGCTCGGGTGCTTTCAGCGGGTTTAAGCAAGCCGCGTTCACATCTAACAGTTCGAGGAGACCCGGGTGTCTAAAGTTAGAGGAGAGACCCGGGTGTCTAAAGTTAGAGGAGAGACCCGGGTGTCCAGTCCGCCTTCTTCAGATGCTGGCTCCTTCCTGCAGCACGGTGCGCTGTGACACACCAGCATGCTGACAGCGCGCCGTGAGTCAGACACACAGCCTCTGCAGGTGTCGGTGTGGGACCTGCCTGGGGGCCTTACCTCTGGGTAGACGCCTATCAGGGCGTCCGCTCTGGAGTAGAACTCTTCCTTCAGGGAGATGACGATCATCTGGAACTGCTCCTGAGTCTGCTGCTGGATGTAGCTGGACACCTGGGCGGGGAGAACAGGCTCAGGAGGGCGGGCACCTGGGCAGGGCTGCTCCCGTCTGGGCGGACCATACCCGCCCCCGCTAAACCCCGAACAGCAGAACAGCTTAGAGTCTAGAACTTACAGAATCAAGCTCTAACTTGAACATACTTTTTTAAAAAATGTATCTGACAGAGTTATAGACAGTGAGAGACAGACAGAGAGGTCTTCCTTCCGTTGGTTCACTCCCCAAATGGCCGCCACGGCTGGTGCTGTGCCAATCCGAAGGCAGGAGCCAGGTGCTTCTCCTGGTCTCCCATGGGGTGCAGGGCCCAAGCACTTGGGCCATCCTCCACTGCCCTCCCGGGCCATAGCAGAGAGCTGGCCTGGAAGAGGGGCAACTGGGACAGAACCCGGCGCCCATATGGGATGCCGGTGCCACAGGCGGAGGATTAACCAAGTGAGCCACAGTGCCAGTCCCTCAATATACCTTTATAACAAAAATCACCACTTAGATATTTTATGAGGGTGAAGGGCTGGATTTTCACTGGGAGCTTCCTGGCTTGCCAATTCAAAGCCTGAAGATGGGAGAACTGTGGTGGGTATGTGCGTACTGTGGGCATATGTGTGTGTCATTACGTCAGTTGGGTTAGAAGTGAACCTGGGTGCTGGCACTGTGGTTGCTGCCTGCAGTGCCAGCATGCCATGTGGGCACGGGTTTGAGTCCCAGCTGCTCCACTATGGCCTGGGAAAGCAGAAGACACAGCCCAAGTCCTTGGGCCCCTGCGTCCAGTGGGAGACCCAGAAGCAGCTCCTGGCTTTGGACTGGCCTAGCCTCAGCTGTTACGGCCACTTGGGGAGTGAGCTGGCGGATGAAGACCTCTAACTCTGCCTTTCAAATAAAATCTAAATGTGAACCCTGCCACCTTCCGGGAACTCAACTCCAAGGATAAGCCTTACAGACACGAGTCTCGGCGTGCACACACAGGGCTGAAACTAGCAACAGGCTAACCAGCTCCTACTCGCCGACTCGGGTCCCAGTGAGAAGCTGGTGTCTCCCGTGCCCAGACTCCAGCTGTGCAGGCTGCGACGGCAGCGTCACGCGAGGAAGGAAACTTGGCAAAGAGGCTGAAGGCACAGGGGACTGCAGAGGCAATGGCTGGGGTAGTGACGGGAAGCCTGGCGGGGCCGGAGCCAGGAGACGCGGCACCCTGACCACGAGAGGGCGCACAGGTACCGCTTCCTGAGACAGCTGCCCTGCGCACCCCGCATTCAGCTGTGTGCCAGGAACCTAAATGGAGGTTTCACTAGAAGACAGGCACTAAGACCGAGGCCATGGAGGTGCCGCCGGTGCAGAGGAGAGGCAGAGCAGAAAGGCGGATTCCCCCACGGAGTGCGGGATGCAGAGGCCAACATGAGGGAGTCTCTCCCCAGCAGGCAGGTTCGCTGGCAGTCCGTGGGATTCTCCTTGCTGTTAACCAGGAGCTCCCAGCAGCCTCTGGGCGTGGAGTCAGGGCAGACACTGGCAGGAGGGGCACCCCTGGAGCCACGCACTGACCTTGGCGTGCTGACGAGGTTCTGAGACTGGCTCGAGGAGCAGTGTCAGCACAGAGGTTAACTGGGGACGTCTCGCTGGGATCGGGGAGGGAGGCTTTTGGGACGTGAGGATTTTATTTAAGGAAGTTACTCAACTACTTGTCGACCCTCGAGAGCCAGTACCTCTGCCGGGGACGCTCTGCTTCCCGGGGCCAGCACAGGCTCTGCCGGGAGTGACACTGCGGACTCCCGCGTGGGTCTCCCGGCAGCACGTGGGGAAGACTGCCCCAAGTCGCCTTCGGACACAGTGGAAACCTCGAGAGCATGGACGCTGCTGCCCCACTTCCCTGGCTGTGGGGGCCCCTGCCTTCTGCCTGGGATCTGAGCCTTGCTGCTGAGAGGGGAGGCGGAAAGAAACTCACTTTGCCGATGTTGGTGTTGTCCAGGGCTGCGTCCACTTCATCTAACACGAAGAACGGGGCAGGCCGGAAACTAGAAGAACAAAGGGCAGTTCCCTTTGCTTCACAAAAGAAGGACTGGCATACAGAGTGAGGCACGCTCTTCCGTCCAGGCGAGCTGCACGTTGCTGAACTGAACGTCAGCCAGCCTGCACCCCGTGTCCCCTGGGCCACGCGTAGTTGGGGTCGGTCGCCCTCTCCAAACACTGCTGGGACGTCCCGCCACCTGCTGCTGCCAGCTGGCAGAACCGCCCCTGAGCTCCCCGTGTTGCCTCTGTCAGCTCCCTTGGTGACGTCACTGCTCTCAAGACTGGAGCGGACTCGGCTCCTCCATCCTGTCCTGACCTCCACCTCCCCGTCCAGCCGAGCCTCTAACAGCACCTCAAATGCGTCCCAAAATCAAATTCCCCACCTGCCCCTCAACACCTATTCTGGTCATTTCCGTGGCGGGCAGCTCTCAATCGCTTGGCTGACTGGGCCCAAACCGAGGGTCACTTTTGACTCCTTACAGCCCACGTGCTGTGTGCCTTTTCCAAATACATTTTTTAAAAAGACTTATTTGAAAGGCAGAATTACCAGCTTGGGGGGTGTGGGGAGCAATCCGGACTAGACTAAGTTACTCGAATTAGGACTTATTCTATGCATCTGCTCTCCCACAATATGGCGCTGGGAGAGAAGTAAACAGCTTCCGCACAGCTGCCTCCAGTTCAACCAATTAACTGTAGGACTTGCTCCTGATTGGAGAGCAGCGTACTCAGCCGAGTTGGGATTGGCGGAGGAGGACTATAAAGGAGGAGAGAGACGGCATGCACCAAAAACATCTATGGGGAACATCTAGCTGAAGGAACACCTGTGCAGCCCCCGAGAAGAGCCGGCCGGCGGTGTGCCGCTCCCCTGCGGAAGTGGGGAATGTGGCCAGGGGGAACTGCCCTTCCACGGAGGTGGAAGGGATAGTAGCCAACCCGGGAAGAACCAGCAGCAAACCCGGGGAGGGCCGAGCAGACGAAAGAACAGCGCAGGGTCCTGTGTCGTTCCTCCACGAAGAGGGGGAGCGACAGGGGGGAAGAGGGAAGAAAGAGATCTTCCATCTGCTGGTTCACTCCCTAAATGGCCACAATAGCCAGGGCTGAGCCAGTCCAAAGCCAGGAGCTTCCTCTGGGTCTCCCATGTGGGTGCAGGGCCCCAAGGACTTGGGCCATCCTCCACTGCTTTCCCAGGCGCATTAGCAGGGAGCTGGTTGGGAAGCAGCGGCCCAGACTTAAACCAGCACCCACAGGGGATGCTGGCACTGCAGGTGATGGCTGCCAGCCATGGCCCCAATAAATTTTAAATGGCTGAGCAAGAGAGAGATTGCTTCTAACCGCTAGCTCGACCTCAGATGCCCACAACAGGCCAGGCCAAAGCCAGGAGCCACGGAACTCCCTCTGGTTCTCCCACACAGGTGGCAGGACCTGAGCACCTGGCCCATCTGCCGCCGCCTTGGGCACACCAGCAGGAAGCTGGCCGAGCAGCGGAGCAGCCAGCATGCAGCCAGCACTCTGCTCGGGGATGCGGGCATCCCAGGCGGTTCTGTGCCACAGCACCTGTCCATCTCTGAACAAATCCCATCTGCTCAGGCGCTCTCCTGTGTCCAACCACTCTGTTGTTAACAACAGCCTCGTGCTGCCCCTGCTGTGTGCAGCCTGTGCCCAGCCACCCATGCCAGGTGCGCTCTGGCCTCAGGCCCTTTGCACTTTCTGTCCTTCGTGTGTGGAACATCCTCTATGACTCTTATCCCTTCTCGTCATTGCTGCACTGTTACTTTCTCAAATACACCGTCACAAAGCTCTGAACATAAACCATGCCCTTATTTTCACTCTACAGGACTTGTCACTTTCTAGTACTCTCTGTATCAGCGATTCATTCACTAACTGACCTTATTATCTGTCTACCTCAACTAACGCGAGGTGCTTCTGTGGCATTGCCTTGTCCACAGCTCTCCCCGCTGGGACAGCACCTGGCACTTCACTGTCTGGTAGAAGCTGCCGAGCTGCTGCATAAACACAGGCGTGCCACCTGGTGCCCTGGCTCTGCTAGGCTTCCTCGTGCGGAGCCCCCGCCGCAGGGTCTCTCCGTGGCCTCTGGCCTCCTGAGACGGGCAGGTCTCGGCCATCAGCACGCTGTCTGTGCCTTCCTCTGAGGAGGCCAGCTGGCTGAGTCTCGGTGCACGTTTTGTTTCCTGATTTATCTTAGAGACAGGCCACTCTCCTCCGGGAAAATGAGGAGGTTCACTAGCTTTCTTGAGGACTAAAATGTTCTAGCTGAAGAGCAGAGCCCTGAATACAGGCTCCGCATATTTCTGTTGTGCTTGCTGGCGACCTGCTGTCACACCTGGCCACGCCAAGCACCACTCTTCCCCAACAAGCTGGACGATCGCTAGCGCTTGATGGGAGGAACTGAGGAGCAGCTGTGGAGGACCGAGCGCTCAGAGCTGCTGACCGGCTTCTGGTCTAAACACAGCCCCAGCTGATGGCTGAAGAGCCCCTTCTGCTCACACGCGGTAGTCTGCAGAAGCCCTGCTTTGGTTTCTGCTGTGACACAGAACCGTGCGGCTGTATGCGGCCTCACCTGTGAACGGCGAACAGGAGCGCCAGGGCCGCCACGCACTTCTCTCCCCCGGACAGATTGTCCATCGGCATGAAGCGCTTGCCCGGGGCCACGCAGTTGTAGCTAATTCCCTCCAAGTAAGGTTCTTCAGGGTTCTCGGGACTAAGGAATGCCTGAAACACACATCATTTCTTCAGCAACAAGAGAACAGCAATTGGTAAACCTCAACCCGGCGTCGCAGCAGAATTTACATGCCAAACATTCTGTCGGTTAGGTTTTCCTCCAGTGTGATGGAAAAACACAGTGCCCGTTACTAATGTATTCAGTTCTACATCCGTGGGGACACCAGGGTTCCCAGGCAGGGGAGAACATCCTAACACATCCAGGGATCCACCAGACTCCCACCAGACTGCCATGCGAAGCTCAGCAGCACAGGCCCCCAGGCTTAAAGACACCAAAACCCCCAACAAAAACTGTCTTCATTCAGTTCACTCATTGAGCCACTCCAGATGTTCAGTGAGCACCTGTTATGGGCCAGGCGCTACAGATACGGAGAACGAAGTTGAGATTCTTGGTCTCTCATCCAGGATCATCAAGTCTCAGTCACACGCACTCTACACAGCTACGTGCAGGGTGCTGCAAGTGGGATGCTGGTGGCTGGGTGGGACTCCCGCCTTTGCTACTCTGGTCAGCTCCACAGGTCAGCGCGTTCCCCAAGGACCTCCGTATCACCCCCACCCTCACCCCAGAGAGCCACAGTTCTGTAAAGTCACGTCACAGTCAGGCAACAGGATTTTAGATCTGAAAAGAACCTGGGAACCAAGTGATCTAACCCACTCATGTTTTGGATGAAGAAACAGGCTTGGAGAGGTCTGGACTGGTCCTGGCTGGCCAGTGTTGACTCACTGGGATCTAGAACAGAGAACTGACTCTGTCCCCAGAGGGAGGCACTCAAACGATGGGGCAGCGACTACTTCCCAGTGGAAGAAGAAGAAAGCCCGACACAGCGGTGACACTGAAGTCCCCACGCGGGCCGCAGGGTGGGCAGCACGCACCTGGGCACTGGTGTTTCTGCAGAGCTTCTTGTAGATCTGATCGATGGAGACCGAGACGTGCTCAAAGCACCGGCTGAAAAGATCGTATCTCCTCTTCTTCACGTGCTCGAACTCTTGCCTGCACATTCTGGCTTCCTTCCTGCTGGCCTCAAAGGCTGAGAGAATCAAGGTTCTTTGCTTAGAGACCACCAAGAGGCTTCTTACTTACACTACAAAATATTCTCCAAATTGGATTTTCAGTCTGTCTTGAGTCAATCTACCTTCAAAACCAACTCAACCAGCAATTCCCAGAGCTTAGCTCTTACAAACGATGAGCGCTTTTCAAACAGGACTCATTTCTAAAGGACACAAGTTCTGAGAGTTCTTGCCTATTTTACTGGTTTTTTGACAAAAGATAATTATCTGTTCTAAGATGAGCAATAAACCCAGTTTTAAGTTAAAGAACAGTTTTTAAAAAGGAAGCCACCAGCGATTGAGTATTAGAAGCACACAGTAATATAAGGCAACAGACAGGACTGGTATGTGTTATGGGAACCACAACACCCACAAACAGGATCTCGTCAACTAAAAACTTCACCATCTGTGGATTCTTGGAACTTGTCTCTGACGGTCTTCAAGTTCTCCAGGGCGCGCAGGTTGGGGGCTGCGGTCTTCAATAGGGTGTCCTCCTGGGACGCCACCTGCTGCAGCAGGAGCCGAAGATGGGCCTCAACCTCTTCGTCAGACTGCAGAGCCTGTTATTGGCAAAGAGCAACACCAACTGGCACAGCTTCTAGAGCCAAACTGCCAATGCAAGGCACACACACTGGCCCTGTCACCGCCGGCCCAGCCCCTTGCATCCCCTTCCCTCCTCCAGGCCCTGGGCCTGGAGCTGCAGTCACGCCCTAGTCATCCAGGCTCTTACACGGCTCTCGGGTTGTCTCTGCTGCTCTCCCAGAACACGCTGTCTCTCCTTACTGTAACCTGCTACACAGCCAGAGTTCACAGGGTACCTTCAGGCTACACTGATCATCCACTCTGTATCAGCGACTGAAGTCGATGGGAACTCTGCTGCTAAAAAGCTCACAAGGAGACGGAGACAGAAGCGGGCATCTGCAGCAGGGTGCAGGGACCTCCAGGCCTGCAGGTGGGAGGACTGCGCGGCAGAGGACTCAGCCCAGCTACAGGGAAACGTTAAAACCAGAATGACGGCTACAACTAACTTGACTGCGAGGGAACGGGACAAGTGCTGTAGACATGCCCTTCCAGAAAAGCCGTCTGGGCCGGCTGGCAGAGGCCCGTTAGCGCCGTGAGCAGCAGGGCCAGGCTGAGTCCTGGCTCCTCCAGCTCCGACCCAGCTCCCTGCACCTGGAAAGGAGCAGGTGATGGCCGCCCAGGAGACCCAGACAGGACTCCAGGGTCCTGCTGTGACGGGCATCTGGGGAATGAAACAGCATATGGAAGACTCTGCCCTTCAAGTGAACAAATGAGTAAAACTTAAACATGACAGAAGTGACGTTTTAATTCACTGAGAAGAGCTGGTGTGTAGCAGAGAAAAGCTGCCACCTGTGACGCCAGCATCCCATATGGGCGCTGGTTCAGGTCCCAGCTGCTCCACTTCCAACCCAGCTCCCTGCTGTGGCCTGGGAAAGGCAGTGGAGTGTTTGGGTCCCACGTGGGAGACTCCAAGGAAGCCCTGGCTTCTGGCTTCAGTCTAGCTCAGCCCTGCCTGTGGCAGCCATCTGGGGAGTGAGCCAGGGGATGTCAGAGTTCTGCCTTTCCCTCTGACTCTGACTTTCAAATAAAATAAATCTTTTAAAAAAAGATAAAAGAAAATTGTTGCTGAGAAGACTGCTTAACTTGGATACTTAAAAAATATATTCTTACCTCATACCATGTATTACAATAAATCTGATTAAACAAAAGAAAAGCATAACAAGAAGAAAATATTTAGAAATATCTCCTCAGTAATGTGGAAAAGGATTTACAATACAAGAGCAAAGGGAGGGCACTAACAGAAGACTACCAGGAAGACTACCCGTGGTCAGAAGGTGCTGCAAGGAGTGGCGCCGCCCTAACGGGAGGCGTGAACAGCACAGGAGAGGAAACCCAAGTGGCTGTGGCCGTGGCCACGCAGCACCGCTCTCACAGGCTCTCACAGGCTCCCATTCCTACCAGCTGTGCTGCTCGCCAGCTCACCCATCTCCCTCGGCGGTCCTGTGCCGTCACTGGATGGCCCTGCCTGGTCTAAGGTCCAATCTGCCACCCATCCCCCTGCCCAAGTGAGTGGCCCAGGAATAAACCTGTGACGACCCCATTCAGGCCACTGTGGTGAGGGGGACACTGGCTGAGGCTTTTCAGGAAAAACCGTTCTTCAATCTTGGAGAAACCATCTGGAAGGCAGGCCCTCTCTTCCCTGAAGGCTGTGGCTGTGGCTCTGAAAGCTAACAAGGGCTGCAGTGTGGCTCACAGAAGTAGCGCCAGGACGAAACCAACACACAGAGCGAGCACTGCAGCCATGGCCAGGTTGCAGTCACCTGCCATGCTCTGGGAGGGGCCCATGCCAGCTGAGGGCGCTGCTCTGGGACCCTGACGGCAAACCAGTCACCTGACATGCTCTGGGAGGGGCCCGTGCCAGCCGAGGGCGCTGCTCTGGGACCCTGATGGCAAACCAGTCACCTGCCATGCTCTGGGAGGGGCCCGTGCCAGCCGAGGGCGCTGCTCTGGGACCCTGACGGCAAACGCAGGACACCGGGTAGTCGGCTGCTTCGTTTACTGTAGGGCTTCGTGAAGGCTTCCACCATGCACGGAGCGTCTCCTGAGAGCAGCGACTGCTGTCTCCTGACTTATTAACAAATGGTATTTGGGCTTCCGTCCCTGTTCCTAGCACAGGGCTCCTAAAACCCTACTTCTAGAGTGGCAAGAATGAGGAATGTCTTGGTTACTCATGATAAGTCCTTCTCAGTGACCCCAAGCTGATGCTGGAGAGCTGATTCTTGTGGGACCGGGACTGGTGACCAAGGAATCACCATGGGATTGACTGGAAATTTCAGCCACCCTTCCTGGGGAGGAAAGGAAGAGGCTGGAGATGGAGTCCAGTCACTAACAGCCGATGATCTCATGCAGGGGTGGGAAACCTCTTCTCTGCCGAGAGCCATTTGGATACTTACAGTATCACATGAGGGCCAAATTATCAACTTAAAAACTAGCCTGCTATGGGGCTGGTGCTGTGGCGCAGCAGGTTAACGCCCTGGCCTGAAGCACCGGCATCCCATATGGGCGCCAGTTCTAGACCCGGCTGCTCCTCTTCCGATCCAGCTCTCTGCATGGTCTGGGATAGCAGTGGAGGATGGCCCAAGTGCTTGGGCCCCTGCACCAATGTGGGAGACCAGGAAGAAGTTCCTGGCTCCAAATACGCACAGCTTTGGCCATTGCGGCCATCTGGGGAGTGAACGAGTGGATGGAAGACCTCTCTCTCTGTTTCTACCTCTCCCTGTAACTCTTTCAAAAAAATAAAATAAACCTTTACAGAAACAAAACAAAACAAAAAACTAGCCTGCTACAGGTTTCCTGACTCCCGAGGCCCAGCTGTCGTTGTGGCAGGGCCAGGCCCAGACTTCCTACTCCTGATAATCGTGCCCATGTAACGAAGACTCAGTCTGGAGAGCCTCAGGTCACTGAGTGCACGGCACAGAGAGGCTGGGAGGGCTGCGTGTGCCTGGGGGGACCTGGGAATGCTGCCCTGTTCCCACACCTGGGCTTGAGCAGCCCTCCCTTTTGGCTGTCACCATGTGGTATCTCTACAACCAACCAGCCAGTGTAAGTGCTCCTCTCCTCTGGTTCTCTGAGCCACTGCAGGAAATGATCAAACACGAGGAGGGGCTGCGGGAACCTCAACGTGTAGGTGACCGGCCAGAAGTTCCGGAAGCCTGGACTTGTGCCTGGTGACAGGGAAGGGACAGCCTCCCGGGCTGAGTGTGTGCTCTGACGCTGACTGCGGGGGCGGCGTCAGAGCTGAGCTACCCAGCGCTCAGAGATCCGAGTAACTGCTTGGTGTGCAGGGGCCCCCGTATTCAGTGTCAGAGCGTTGAGAACCGTTTCTTTCTCCTCTGTGTATTTTTTTCAAAACCATCAGGAAATCTTCTTTAACACGTACACTATCATTTAAGAATGGTCCTGCAGTTTCCATCAGTGTCAGGTGGTGGTCATCAAGAACAGGAATCTTTCACTTACCTTCAAGTCCCCTCGGAGAGAGCGGTAGTCGATTTCAATGGCTTCTTCCTTTTCATAGATATCAGTTGTTGCCTGGGTGCTTTCTGCTTCGGTTCCCAGCTGAAAAACACACCAGGCTGTTTCCTCGGTGGCTGAAGTGGGGCGTCTCTCTTCGTCCATCTACCCCAGCCCCCCAGCAGCATGTCACCACAGATCACAGGCTGACACCTTACGAGGCCACGATGCTGGCCTTGGTCTCGATGCAGCTGCACTGTGCGCCAGGGCCCTGTTCCAACCACACGGGCCTGTGGCCACAGCCACCTGGGCTGTGTGCGCCACTTCACCTCCATCTCTACTCACCGGCTGCCTTCCCTCAGGTCGTCCTGGCCTCCCTCTAAGGTGGCAGACTCACTGCTGCCAGAGGACTGTGTTCCCTCTCCAGCTCTTTCTTTTCCATGTATCCACACTAGACACAAATACTCACCCTGCTTATCATCTTGTCAGTTTGCTCATCTCTCCCTACTACAATGTGACAGAGGATTTCTGGCTGTCACATTCACTGCTGTACTCAGTGCCCAGTCCAACGACTGACAAAATATTTCAATTTCAATATATGTTACTCTCCGAACAAAGGAGGGAGTGGGAAAGAAGGGACAAATCAATGCGCAGTTGTTCTGCCGCAGGCTGGCGTTGGTGTAATGCTGATACCCAAAACAAAGACTAAAAACTGAAAGGGAAACAACTGTCAGTCACTCCTTTGTAGATATTCTCAGTTGAATCAAACTCAAAGGAACTACTTTTAGAATTAAACATACATTTTATATATTATACATTATGTTGGCCGGCGCCGTGGCTCACTGGCTAATCCTCCACCTGCGGCGCTGGCACACGGGGTTCTAGTCCCGGTCGGGGCGCCGGATTCTGTCCTGGTTGCTCCCCTTCCAGGCCAGCTCTCTGCTGTGGCCTGGGAGTGCAGTGGAGGATGGCCCAAGTGCTTGGGCCCTGCACCCCATGGGAGACCAGGAGAAGCACCTGGCTCCTGGCTTCGGGTTGGTGCAGTGCACCAGCCATAGCAGCCATTTGGGGGGTGAACCAATGGAAGGAAGACCTTTCTCTCTGTCTCTCTCTCTCAGTCTAACTCTGCCTGTCAACAACAACAACAACAAGGAGTTCGTGTAGCTTTGTAACAAACGGCCATGCTGCCTTCCACAGCTGCCGCACGAGAGCTCCTGCAGCTCCACACCCTCCCGTCACTGCCAGGTTCTAGGTTCCGGCCGTTCTGGTGTGTGTGCAGTGGCATCTCATTTAATTTTCCTGATGCCATATGATGTGACATCTTTTAAAATGCTTTGATACATTGTTAAATCAGGTTTTCTCGTTCTTAAATTTTAGGAGTACTTTGTGTATTTTGGATAAATATTTTATCAGGAATGTCTTACAAATATTTTCTCCCAGTCTTAGCTTATCTTTGCGTCAGTGCCTTTCCAGTGTCTCTCTCTCTCTCTCTCTCTTTTTTTTTTTAATTTTTGACAGGCAGAGTGGACAGTGAGAGAGAGACAGAGAGAAGGGTCTTCCTTTGCCACTGGTTCACCCTCCAATGGCCGCCGTGGCCAGCGTGCTGTGGCCGGCGCACCGCGCTCATCCGAAGGCAGGAGCCAGGTGCTTCTCCTGGTGTCCCATGGGGTGCAGGGCCCAAGCACTTGGGCCATCCTCCACTGCACTCCCTGGCCACAGCAGAGAGCTGGCCTGGAAGAGGGGCAACCGGGACAGAATCTGGCGCCCTGACCGGAACTAGAACCCAGTGTGCCGGCGCTGCAAGGTTGAGGATTAGCCTATTGAGCCGTGGCGCCGGCTTCCAGTGTGTCTTACAGAGCATAAGTGTCTCAGGCTAGTGAAGTCCAGCTGACCAGTTACTCAGGTCACGGACTGTCCTGCTGGGTATCTAAAAGGACATTCCCAGCACCTGCCTGGCATGCTCGGAGCTTTCTGTACGGAGCTTCGGTGTCTGCCCTTCACTTGGGACGTTCTTAATCATCACTGTCTCAAATATTGCTTCTTTCTTCTAGAACACACATTACATTTGGTGTGGCTGTCCTGTCATTTCTAGAAAACTTGTTCTTTTCTCCTGAAGTCTTTTTTTCTTTTGCTTTTTAGTTCTGGAGGCACCTCTAGAGATCTCCAGCTCAGAGCCTTCTCAGTGGCATACCCAGTCCACCGACGAGCCCACGGGAAGCATCTTCACCGCTGTTACTGCTTTCACTCTATCATTTCTTTTTGGTTGGTTCTTAGAATTTCCATGTCTCTTACGTTTCCCACCTGTCCTTGTGTGCTGTCTACATTATTCAGTGGAGTCTTACCAATATCTGTTTTCTCCTGGCAAACTTCTGTCCTTGGGCCATAAACTTCACATGTGCTTCTCGGTTGTTTTTCTTCCATTGATGTGACAGAATGAGCAGAGCTGGCTGGAGCTGGCTATTTCCCTTTGCCGAATTAGGTGTTTTTTTTTGTTTTTTTTGTTTTTTTTTTTTTTTGACAGGCAGAGTGGACAGTGAGAGAGAGAAACAGAGAGAAAGGTCTTCCTTTGCCATTGGTTCACCCTCCAATGGCTGCCGCACCGTGCTGATCTGATGGCAGGAGCCAGGTACTTATCCTGGTCTCCCATGGGGTGCAGGGCCCAAGCACTTGGGCCATCCTCCACTGCACTCCCTGGCCACAGCAGAGAGCTGGCCTGGAAGAGGGGCAACCGGGACAGAATCTGGCGCCCCGACCGGGACTAGAACCCAGTGTGCCGGCGCCGCAAAGCGGAGGATTAGCCTAGTGAGCCGCGGCGCCGGCCCGAATTAGGTTTTAAAAACCCCTGAAGGTTAGGTCTGGCTAGAAGTTTCTGCTGAGGGTAGACCGTGTTGAAAAGCTTCATCAGTTCTTTGGAGTGGGTTGCTATAAAACCCTGAGCTGGGGCCTGCCCATTCTCGGGCTTCTGGCTCACCATGAGATCTTCTTCCACTTGTACTCCACCACCTGCCATGGGTTGCTTTTTTTTTTTTTTTAATTTATTTCGAAGTCAGAATTACAGAGAGAGAGGGAGAGCCAGAGAGAGAGAGAGCCAGAGCCAGAGAGAGAGAGAGAGAGATTCTATCTACTGGTTCACTCCCAAGATGGCTGCAACAGCCTAGGCTATGCTTCATCCAGGTCTCCCACATGGGTGGAAGGGGTCCAAACATGTGGGCCATCTTCTGCTGCTTTCTCAGGACTTTAGCAGGGAGCTGTATGGAAAGTGGAGCCACCAGGACAGGAACTGCAGCCCAGATGGGACTGCTGCACGTGCTGGCTTTACCTGGTGTGCCATAACATGTGCACACGGGCCTTTGACAGAGTCAAAACCTGTAACAGGCCGTTTGGACTTTGAACTTATAAAACTGTGAATTAAATAAACATTTTTATCTATTTAAGTGAGCTGTCTCAGGTATTTCACTGTAGTAACAAAAAACTGATTAATACATCCTGAAACAAATGTGCAAAGTCTCATGGGGTTGGCACTGTGGTGCAGCAAGTTAAGCTACTGCCTGCAGTGCTAGCATCCCATATGGGGGTCGGTTTGAATCCTGCCTGCTGCACTTCCTATCCAGCTCCTTGAACTTGTGCCTGGGAAAGCAACAGAAAGACGGAGCAAGTCCTTGGGCCCCTGCCACCCATGCGGGAGACCCAAAGAAGCTCCTGGCTTTGCCCTGGCCCAGTCTGGCCATCACAGCCATTTGGGGAGTGAGCCAGCAGATGGAAGCTCTCTCTGCCTCTCCTCACTCTCTGTAACTCTGCCTTTCGAACAAATAAAATATTTTTTTAAAAATGTGAAACGTCTTTCATGCTAATGAAGTAGTAAATACCTTCACATTCATGGTAGGTATGTGAGAAAATAACCCACCAACTGAAAGAACAATGGGCAAACAGCAGCAACACTGTCTGAACCGCAGTATGTATGTGGGTGTAAGGCAATCAAAGTGCCTCCTCCTCGACTCCGCCTTGTAGTGAAATTCTCCCAGAGCTGCTCTGCCCTGTGAACAGCCTTCGGCTTTCTGCTGCAGCACAGCGAGTGCTGTCTCCTGCTCCCATCAGTTCTGCTGCTAACAGACCTGTTCTCCCTCCTTCCACGCAGACCCACCAGAGTGGGGGCGTGATACAGAGGGAGCCAATCAGAATTCTTCCCCATGGCTTTTGCGAGAGGAGGAAGGCAGAGACCTCTTTCACTGAGGGAAAGCTGGCCTGAGAGAAAACAGCCAGTCCCTAAGGAGCAGGAGTTCTGACGGCACCAAAGTTCCGGGGTTCAGCCCCGCGTGAGAACCGTGCCAGCTCTTTCCTTTACTCCCGCTGTTCTCTCTAACCTACAGCCAGTTGTGCTGGGGTCACTGTCCTCAGGAGAGGGTTTCTCCTTCCCTCCCCTCATGTCCGGAACGCGATCTCTACTCAACACAGGGAAAGAAAGGCATTTTGAGTACAGTACCACATCAGAATCAAGCTATGAAAGGTTGTCAACATTAGCAAGGGAAAAACTTGTTTTATATAGCCAAAGGACTTAAAGCCTCTTCTGGAACAGAAAAGTGGACAGAACTGAATGGGTCTCGCGTGTCAGGTGATGGGGCGGCGAGGAGGAGGGGTGTGGGGTGGAGACCAGAGAGAAGACGCTCACAGGGGCTGGTAGTTGGCACAGAGGTTAAGACGCTGTATCCACAGTGTCTGGGTTTGGGTCTTGGCTCCATTCCTGATTCCTGATTCCTGCTAATGCATACCCTGAGAGGCACGGGTGATGGGGTTCAAGGCTGGGTCTCTCCTGCTTATGTGACACCTGGACTGAGATCCCAGGTCCTCCTTTCAACCTGACAAGTCTGGCTGTTGCAGGCATCTGGGGAGTGAGCCAACAGATGGGAGATCTCTCTTTCCATCTTTATATCCCTCAAATAAATAAAACTTAAGCAAAAGAAGAGACATACTGATACTCAGTAAGAACTCACAGCTGACTTAAGAACAAGCAAATAACAATCTCCACTATCCTCTGGGTTAGCTGCCAGTAAGACATTCTTGGGGCTGGCACTGCACTGCAGCCTGTGGAATAGCAGGGTAAGCCACTGCCTGCAACACTGACACCCCGTATGAGCTGGGTTCCAGCCCTGGCTGCTCCACTTCCAACCCAGTTCTCTGCTAATGCGCCTGGGAGCAATGGAAAATGGCCCAAGTCTTTGGGCCCCTCCCACCCACGTGGGAGACCCAGATGAAGCTCCTGGCTTCAGCCTGGCCCAGTTCTGGCCATTGCAGCCATCTGGGAAGTGAACCAGCAGATGGAAGATCTCCGTCTCTCTGTAACTCTGCCTTTCAAATAAAGAAAGCACTAAAAAAGTGAAAAGGGGGACCAGTGCTGTGGTGTAGTAGGTTAAGTATCTACCTGCAGTGTCGGCATTCCACATGGGTGCCGGCTTGAGTCCTGGCTGTTCCACTTCCAATCCAGCTCTCTGCTGATGGCCTGGGAGAGCTGCGGAAGATGGCCAAGTGCCTAGGCCACTGCATCTGCTGAGCGACCCAGAAGCTCTTGGCTTTGGATCAAGCTCAGCTTCTGGGCATTGCGGCCATTTAGGGAATAAACCAGCAGATGGAAGACCTTTGTCTCTCCCTCCCTCTGTCTATAACTCTGCCTCTCAAGTTCATAAATAAATCTTTTTTTTTTTTTTTTTTTTTAAAGAGATGGGGCCGGCGCTGTGGCGTAGTGGGCTAAGCCTCTGCCTGCAGTGCCAGCATCCCATATGGACTCCAGCTCATGCCCTGGCTGCTCTACTTCCAATCCAGCTCCCTGCCACGGCCTGGGAAAGTAGTGCAGAACGGCACCGCAGGCAAATACTAACCAACATAAAGCATCCTATGTAATATGACATGGTGGAAACAGAGAAATGCTGACTATCAGTGGGCCTACTCTTGTGATTCTTGGCTGTCCATTCTTGCCACTTCCTGCATTCTCCCTGCCTGGAGCTACTCAGTGGGTCAGCATTTCTTCTGAGAACCTGGACAGGCCCCTCCCGCGGTGCTATGAAGACATGGATTAACATGAGAGGTAAGACAACCGCACCAAGTCCCTGCCCTCTGCCTTTCCCCTCCTAGAAGAAGCAGATGTCACTCCTGCAAGCGCAGGAGCTGCAGGTCAGGAGGAGGGACAGGCAGAGGGCACGGCACGCACTCTGGAGTACCTCCACTTCAATGATGTCGTCCAGCGAGCCCAGCAGAAGAACGATTTCAGTGTCTTGGACTTTGCAATCCAGCAGCAGGTTGTGCTTCTCTACTCGTTTCTGCTCCAGAGAACTCTGCAGGACCACCATTCGTTTCTGCAACTTTCCCACCTCCCTGCAGACCGGATATGGAAAAGTGATTTCACTCATCACCTGAAGTTACACCAACAAAAATCTGCTGGAAACCTACATGGAAGAAATTATTGTTTCCTCTAGGTAATTACTTTTTCTTAGAGTTCTCTCACAGATGCTTATAATTTAAACATGCACACTCCTGAGGAAGGCCACGAATGTCATTGCCCTGGGGTCCCTTTCCCATAATGAACATCACCGCAGCAATCATAGGGCTTTCCTACATTATCTTTACATCTATACATTTTTTTCTTTTTAAAATATTTTATTTTGGGGGCCGGCATCCCATATGGGTACCAGTTTGAGTCCTGCTGCTCCACTTCCAATCCAGCTCTCTACTATGGCCTGGGAAAGCAGTAGAAGATAATTCCAAGTCCTTGGGCCCCTGCACCCACATGGGAGACCCGAGGAAGCTTCCTGGCTCCTGGCTTTGGATCGGCCTTGCTCCAGCTGTTGCAGCCAATTAGGGAGTGAGCGAGCAGAAGGAAGACCTTCTCTCTCTCTCTCTCTTGTGTAACTCTTTTCAAATAAATAAATAAATCTTTAAAAAATATTTTATTTTATTTATCTGAAAGGAAGACCAACATGAAGAAGGAGAGACATACCTTCTGCTGGTTTACTCCCCAAAAGGCCTCAACGTCTGGGGCTGGGCCAGGCCAAAGACAGAAGCCTAGAGCTCCATCTGGGTCTCCCACATGGGTGGCAGGGCCCAGACACTTGTGCCATCATTTTCTGCCTTCCCAGGAGCAGTAGCAGGGAGCTAGACAGGAAGCAGAGCAGCTGGGACTGGAGCCAGGACTCAGTGTGGGATGACACACTGGGCTACAATGGGCCCTGAGTCACCACGATTTTTGAAGCTGCACTTTTCCCTCAAATGTAAGTTCCATATTTTGGAACTTCACTCTAAGAGAAACAGTATCTTGGCACGAGAAATGTCTTCCAAGTTCAGTTATCACACATCTGGCAATCCCATTTCTTTACCGCACTGATGTAATGCCTTCTGACAATAAGGGCTGAGGGTTTTACCAATGGGAACAATGTGAGATTTCAAAAAACTCTAGAAACAGGAAAAGGTGGGGGTGGGGAGGAAGGAGAAGGAAAAAAAACTAAAAATCAACATGGCTTTCAAGAATATGAAAAGAAACAGAGAAAAAAAATTTTAAACTAAACACAAGATCAAGAGTGAACGGACTTTAATTCTACTCAAAAACTTCAAAGAAATGCCAGGGACTGAGTAAAAAAGAAAACGAAAGAGCTCATTTTGTCTGATCCCCTATGGTTGTATCAGTCACACAGGAAAGCTGACGTCATTTTGGCACAAGCCGGCACAGCATCATCATCACGGCAAACACACATGCTTCTCATGTGCCAGACACCGTTCTGAGTCTGTGTGAGTACCACCTCATTTAATGCTGCCAACTTTCCCCTCATCCCCGTTTACGGATGAGATGAGCACCAGATGTGAGTAGCAGAGCTGTGCTGTGCACCCAGGCAGAGCTCAGCACTGCCCCTTCCTCTCTGTGCTCGCTCTACACAAGCAGAGGGAACCTGGCGTACAGAAGGACGCCAGTACAAGGGGGTCTGGGGCCAAGGACTCTACGGAGGCTCATGTTCCCAGCCACCAGAGAACTCACTATTCACTCCAGCCAACCAATCACCTCTTCTGGTTTCCCTCAAATTAGAACCTTTCTTTTGAAAAGTGTGACGTGGGACTAAGAGTGACAAAGGAGACTTACCCAAAGCAACTTCCACGGTACACTTCAAGTTTACAGCATACATGTTTAAAACGCCAGCTAGGTTTTTCAAATTTATTACCTATCGACAGCCAAAAACTTGTTTCGTTCCTCTTCAATTTGAGCCTGAACTCTCTCTGCGTGGGAACTCTGAGTGACACACACACCCTGAAGTCGCTGCCGTTCCTCCATGAGATCACTCACAATTTGAAGGCAGTTTTCTTCAGCCTGAATGGAGGAGATGTGCACTGTGCATTTACCATCTTTCGTATTAGTGTCCACAGTTGTCCATAAAACCAGTCGTTCTAAGACAAACTTTTTACTGTATGCTGCCTGAACCTCAATCGCAAACTGCGACCCACACTCGCTCTACACGTTCAGAACCCTGAACCACTACCACCTGCATCCGTCTCAGACTTACTCCTCAGCTCACTGCCGTCTGACCTCTGTTCCCATTGTCCCAGGGACGTGTTCTTGCCACTGTGACCTCTACCTGGCTTTTCCCAGTCTTCACATTACCTGGCACCTTCCGGAATCCCAACACTGCTCTACTTCACAGCTCCCTAACTGGGATCCCGATGCTGCCTCACGAGGCTTCAGCTTACTCCCACAAACAGCGCTCCAGTCTGCAGCCCTCACCTACGCTTTTCCCACTAGTGCTCATCTAGAGGTCACACGGCAGCTCAGCTCCCAGATCCGAGTTTTTCTCCCTAACCTGCTCCTCCCACTCAGGAGTCATCCATGCATCCCTCCTTGCCCTTCCTTCTATCTGACGTCTAGTAACTCATGAAGCTCCGAGGATGTTCCTTTAACTAGTTCTCAAGTCTGCCCTCCATCCCTTTCACCACTCTTAGGACCCTGGAGGAGTAACTAGTGTTTACTCAACAAAGAAGCCCTGATTTCAGTGAAGAGGCACCTCAGCCACCCACTATTAATTACCTTCATTAGATTAGCAATGTCTTCTCTACCTTTCTGGATAGTTTCTTTTAAAGTGTTGATCTTATTCAGTTTCTTCTTAAGCTGATTGCGACTATATTCGAGTTGAATATTAAGCCGAGTTTTTTGTTTTTCAAATTCTAATCTAGTATAACAAAGTCAAACATTGTAAGTGGTGAGCAGAGTTCTTTCTTCTTCTATCAGAAATTTTCTAATTTTTAAAATTTATTTGAGAACGAGCGAGCGAGTGAGCAAGTGAGCTCTTATCCCCTGGCCTCACTCTCTGAAGCCCAGCTAGGACAGGCTGAAGCCAGGAGCCAGGAATTCACTCCTACTCTCCTCCCACATAGGTGGCAGGGATGACCCAGCAACTTGAGCCATCGCTTGCTTCCAGGGTACATTTCAGCAGAAAGCTGGAATCAGGAGTGGAGCCAGGACTCGAATCCAGGCACTGTGGTATGGAATGCAGCACCCAAGCACATGTTAACCACTAGGCCAAATGCCTACTTTGTAAGTCTTCTTTTTTGCTTTTTACCTTTTTCACATGTGAAATTATAAACAATAAACAACTATAAAAGTATAAGGAATCTGTCACGAACCCCCATGTAGTTCTCACCGGCTCTAATCATTGTTAACTTACAGTCCTGCTTCATCTATCACCCCCGCTCATCATCCTTCCCCAAATTCCAGATATCCTGTCATCTCATCTGTAAACAACATAGTTAATATTAATTCATAACCATAAATAGCTTCCAACTTGAAAATGGAAATAATTCCTTAATATCAAATTGCTATGCTTGACAAATTTTCTGACAGTCTTATTACTTTTTTTACATAACTGGTTGTTTGAATTAGGATCTACATATTACATATAAGTGATATGTTTCTTAATTCTTTTAATGAAAAGGAAAAGCTGCAGCTTATGATCTATAATTTACATGTTTATTCTCATCATTCATTAAGTAGCTATTCACACATAAACTCCGAACTTAAGAATTTAAGAACACATCTCTCCTACTTTGCCAGCTTCATAAACTCTTCATAAAGGATTTTAGTATCAACTGTAGCTCATTTCCTGCCTCTCTTCCTCACACTCCCTGCTAACAGAATCATTTGTCCAAGAAACATTTTTATGTACCAACTGTATCAGATATCATGGTAGACAGTGCTGATACAAAAAACAAGAACAAAGGATAATACTTCATGAGGGGTTACTATGTACCCCACACTGCTATAAAACCTTTTACATGAATTAACTCCTGAAGCTGTATGGCTCTATGAGATGAGTAATGTTATTTTCCCTGTTTCACAGAGATGCAGCGACCAGGCACAGAGTGAAGACGTGGGAAGTGGTGGCTAGGCATGACACTCTGAGGGGGCAACAGACTCCCTGCTCTAGACTCCCACTCACACGGCCTGCAGGTGGTAAGAACGAATCTTCAAGGGCTTTGTTTCTCCTGCAGGAGGCACACGCACACACTATGCACGAGTGAAACACGTCTTTCTCTCAGCTCTCAGACACCACACTGCTCTGGCTTTCTTCTCCCCTCAATGCCTGCTCCTAAATGGTTCTTGGTCATCTATTCCACTGGTTAACATCTCTTGATTTCTTCTGTGTTTCTATTCACGTGACTTTAAGCACTAGCTGCATAGTGAAGATCACACAACTGAAGCTCCAACCTGGACTTCCTATTCTATGCCTCCAATGGGAAGTCATAAACATTTCCAACTTAATATCTAGAATACACAATGGATAAGCTACTAGAATATAAAGTTACAAGATATGAGCTCCATCTAAAATGAGACCATTTCTCTACACCAGAAGCCAACTAAAGAAATGCAAAAATGGATCTAATCACAAGCAAAAAAATTCATAAAATACATTCAGAATTAACTTAATAGGGCCGGCGCCGTGGCTCACTAGGCTAATCCTCCACACGCGGCGCCGGCACACCAGGTTCTAGTCCCGGTTGGGGCGCCGGATTCTTTCCCGGTTGCCCCTCTTCCAGGCCAGCTCTCTGCTGTGGCCCGGGAGTGCAGTGGAGGATGGCCCAGGTGCTTGGGCCCTGCACCTGCATGGGAGACCAGGAAAAGCACCTGGCTCCTGGCTTCGGATCAGTGCGGTGCACCGGCCGCAGCATTGGGGGGTGAACCAACGGCAAAAGGAAGACCTTTCTCTCTCTCTCTCTCTCTCACTGTCCACTCTGCCTGTGGAAAAAAATAATTAACTTAATAAGAACACACATATCTCTATGGGAGGAAAAAAATCTTTACAATGTTAATACAATTTATAGATGATTAGAATAAATAGAGACGTTTCATCTCCTGGCTGGAATGACTACATATTTTGAGGATACCACTTCTCCCTCAAAGAAACATACAGATCTAATGTAATCTCAATTAAAAATCAGTTGGATTTTTATGAGAAACACAATCAATACTGTGATAGGCAGAATTCCTTAGGAAGTTTCCTGAAATTCAGTGTTGACTTCAGAACAAGAAATATGGCAAAGAATCTAAGAGGGGGCACTTTATAACAACAGGATTGACTAATCAAAAACATATTATGATGTCAAATATGGATACACCTAATAACAAGGCTTGAAATCCATCAAGTAAAAACTAACAGAACTACAAGAAACTGAAAGACCCAAAAGTATACTTGGAAATTTCAACCCTCCTTTTCTAGTGATTGTTAGAATAACTAGACAATAAACCAGTAAGTACACAAAAAAGCTGAATAACATCAGTGAACCCGGCCTAACTGCCACATAAACACCCATCCAACAGAAGAAAGCATTCTTTTCAAATGTACAGAAATCTTTGACTAAGACTACTTGCTGGCTAGCGCCGCGGCTCACTAGGTTAATCCTCCGCCTTGCGGCGCTGGCACATTGGGTTCTAGTCCTGGTCGGGGCGCCGGATTCTGTCCCGGTTGCCCCTCTTCCAGGCCAGCTCTCTGCTGTGGCCCAGGAGTGTAGTGGAGGATGGCCCAAGTGCTTGGGCCCTGCACCCCATGGGAGACCAGGAAAAGCACCTGGATCCTGGCTTCAGATCGGTGCAGCGCACCGGCTGTAGTGGCCATTGGAGGGTGAACCAACGGCAAAGGAAGACCTTTCTCTCTGTCTCTCTCTCTCACTGTCCACTCTGCCTGTCAAAAAAAAAAAAAAAAAAAAAAAAAAAAAAAAGACTACTTGCTAGGCCTCAAATCAATCTCAATTTGAAAGAATTATTGGGGCTGGCACTGTGGCATAGCGGGTAAAGCGCCGTCTGCAGTGCCAGCATCCCTTATGGGTGCCAGTATGAGTCCCACTACTCCACTTCCGATCCAGCTCCCTGCTATAGCCTGGGAGGGCAGTGGAAGATGGCCCAAGTCCTTGGGCCCCTGCACCTGTGTGGGAGACGCAGAGGAAGCTCCTGGCTCCTGGCTCCGGATCGGCGCAGCTCCAGCTGTTTCGGCCAATAGGGGAGTGAACCAGCGGGTGAAGACCCTTCCCTGCCTCTCCTTCTCTCTCTGTGTAACTCAGACTTTCAAGTAAATAAATATTTTTTAAAAAGAAATTAAAATAATGCAGAATACACTCCTTACCATAATTAAAGTGAACTAAAATCAGTAACAGAAAGTTATCTGAAGCCCCTTTCCCTGGCCAATATCTGTTAAACAATCTACTCTAATTACTTCCTCAATCCTAGGAAAAAGTCACAAGGAATATGAGAAAACATTTTGAACAGAGGAAAATGAAAATACAACATACCAAAATTTGTGGGATGTGGCTTAAAAGAAAATAAATAACTTGGGATGTTTCCACTTGAACAGTAGATAAATCTAAAACACATAATGTAATCTCCCACTTTAAAAAGGTAGAAAAACGTAAATTAAGCACAGGAGAAATAGTAACAATAAACAACAGAAATTAATAACACAGAAGCAAATCAGAGAGAAAAATCAGTGACACCAGCAGCTGGTTTTAGAACAGGCTCAATAAAATTGATACACCTCTTTCTGGAAGGCAAACCGCCACTATCAGGAATGAAAGAATCAGATTCTACAGACTCTTAAAAGGATAAACACAATATTACTAAGTAACAATACTAACAAATTTGAAAACAGAATGTACAAATTCCTTGAAAGACAAAAACTACCATGCTCACCAAAGAAAAACAGATATCCAGAAGATCCCTGTTTATTTAACAAACAGAATACAATGCCACTTCCACACAAACTCCTCTTTAAAAAAAAAAAGAGAGAGAGAGAAAACTATTCCCAGTTCATTTCATGGTCTGGCATTACCCTGACACCAAAACATGACAAGGTCATTATAAGAAAACTTACAGACCACTAAAAACTCATGAACATAAAAGTAGAAATTCTTGATGAAATTTTATCAAGTAGGAAATATATGATGCATAATAGAAATTAAAGGGATAATAAAACATAACCAAAAAGGTTTATTTTAGATATGCCAGATAGTTTAATATTTTAGAATCAATGTAATTTACCATTATATGTATTGACCATATTGCACTAATAAAAACTGAAACCCAACCATACAATCATATATTTCATTATCAGAAAGTCTTTAACAAAATTCAACATTCATCATAAAATATATTGGTAGGGGTGGATGTTCAGTCTAGTGGTTAAGATGCTGGTTCAAACCCCACAGCCCAGGTTAGAATGACTATGTTTGAGCCTCAGCTCCACTCGCAATTCAGGCTTCTTGCTAATGGGCATCCTGGGAGCAGTGGAAGATGGCTCAAGTGGTTCAGTCCCTGCTGCCATGCTGGGACATCTGGCTTGAGTTCCTGGTTGCCTTCTGTGTCCTGGTCCAGCCCTGGCCATTGCAGACATTTGGAGAGTGAACCAGTGAATGGGAGCTCTCTCTGCTGTCTCTTAATTAAATAAAAAACCTCTTAAAAACCCATCAGTGTATTGGGAATAAAAGGGAACTTTCTAAATCTTATAAAGAGCACCCTAAAGTTAATAAAATACTTAACTGTGAAAGACTGACTGCTCTGCCCCTAACACTGTAAATAAAACAGGATTCTGCTCTTTTATTCAACACTGTATTGGAGACCTAGTTAGGGAAATAGGCAGGAAAAGGAATTGTAAGGGAATAAGTTATACGTTTTATTCATTGACAGTACGATTATGTATGCAGAAAATCCTAAGGTACCTAAAGAAATATGCCAGAATAAATAAGTTTAGTAAGCTTTCATGATATAAGGTCAGTTTACAAAAAATGATTTTATTTCAGCATCCTACCAATAAATTATTTTAAATTGAAAACTTAAAACCATTCCACTTGGAATAGCATAACAAAAGGAAGCACTTGGGTATAAATATAACAAAATATGGATAAGGCCTGTACACTGAATATCAAAAATCATTAATTGAGGGAAATTAAACACGACCTTAATGAATGGAAATAGATACATGCTCATGGATCAGTATTGTTACATCAATTCTCCTCATAGAGATGTAGATTTAACACCATTCCAATCAAAATCCTAAGTGTTTTCTAGCACTAGGATCTGTATTAGCAGGGAGTTAGGAGTTGAACCCAGGTACTCCTAAGCAGGATATGGGCATCTTAATTACCAGGCTAAACACCCATACCCTCTCCTCACCAACAAAATCTTTCTTTTCTCCACTAACACAAAACATTATATCAGAGTATATTTCTGTACTCTTAATATCACAAGGCTTATACTATGTTTCAAAATTTAGGAGTCCCAGTCCTTTCTTGCTGCCTGTTTTTCTTGGCTAGGTCTTCATGGGAACTTTAGATCCAGTTTATTGGGTTAAAAAAAAAGTTCATATAATCCTCTGCCTTGCGGCGCCGGCACACCGGGTTCTAGTCCCGGTCGGGGCGCCGGATTCTGTCCCGGTTGCCCCTCTTCCAGGCCAGCTCTCTACTGTGGCCCAGGGAGTGCAGTGGAGGATGGCCCAAGTGCTTGGGCCCTGCACCCCATGGGAGACCAGGATAAGTACCTGGCTCCTGCCTTCGGATCAGCGCGGTGCGCCGGCCGCGGCGGCCATTGGAGGGTGAACCAACGGTAAAGGAAGACCTTTCTCTCTGTCTCTCTCTCTCACTGTCCACTCTGCCTGTCAAAAAATAAAAAAAATAAAATAAAATAAAAAGTTCATACATGTATTCAGTAGATAATTAAAGTACAGTTTAACTGAGGGAGAAGTAGCTTCCTTATAATACTAAATTTTCCTTTAAAAAATTAGTATGACATGACTTTTTCTGTTTATGTTTCTGTTGGATCTCATCATTAACAGTATGAATTTTTACCAGCTATTTCTTGATGAACTGAAATACAGACTAACTCAGGCATAATTCCTCCAAATTAAAAAAACCCAGTCATTTCATACACATGTAAACAGCTTACCAGTATCTTAATAAAAATACCTTTTTTGATCAATTTCTTGTTGCTGTTTAACATGTTTGTTTTCAAATTCACGAATATTTTCCACTCCAATCTCTTCACAGAAGTGCAGGAAAATATCATCTTCTACCTTTTGTTTTAAAACAATGAGTTTAGTAACTAACTGGGAAACATACAGATAATGCTTAACTGTTAGTTTTCTCTCCACGACTTTCCTACATTAGGCACAAAATCGACCCCTCCAGTCCAACTGTATTCTGAGGATCCAGTAAATGATGCCCCTTTAAAAAAATCCTTACTCAAACACTAAATAGGACAACTGGTAACTGGCTTCATTAAATGTTCTGGCTTTATGAAGTATTTAATATATAACTGGAAGAATCCATTTACTTTAGTTACACCAAAAAATAACATTCTACAGAAATAAAATAATTTTATACATGCATAATATTCCATCTCAGGCAGTACAAAGAGAAGAGGACAGCAGAGAATTAAGAAGTAAAAAGAGCTGGAAAAACAAGTATGAGCTAAGTCCAATAAAAACAAAGCAAAATTTAAACTCAGCATTGCAGGGTCTTAGTCCACGCGAACAAAGATGGACTGGGTCCCTGCATCTGGCACCCCACGTTGGGTGCCACTTGTTGGGGTCTTAAGCCTGAGGCTGCCCCTGACCAGCAGGGGACAGTACAAGCACTCCCCGACAAGGCGAACGGGAGAGGTATGGTCAACGGGTCAAGCACACCACAGCAAGCACTCGTGAGTTCTGTCGAAGCAGGAACTACTTTACTGAGGAAGTGTACAGGCTTATAAGGCTTACAAAAGACATGCGCAGTAGGGGATCCAATCAGCGAAAAGGTCACGCAGGGACCACGCACAGGGGCATCTTAAGAGAGGTACAGGGATCATGCACTGTCCACGTGTCCGGAACCAAAGTGGACCTATCCCTGCCAGTGGTCTGATCTTACGTAGCTTAACAGCAGTAGCTGCAGACACGCCCCTTGAACATCTTCCAGGTGCCATATTGTAGTGGAGATTTTAGGCAATGCCCAACACAGTATTTTTTTTTTTTTTTTTGACAGGCAAAGTGGACAGTGAGAGAGAGAGAGAGAGAGAGAAAGGTCGTCCTTTTGCCATTGGTTCACCCACCAATGGCTGCTGCGGCTGGCGCGCTGCGGCCGGCACACCGCGCTGATCTGAAGGCAGGAGCCAGGTACTTCTCCTGGTCTCCCATGGGGTGCAGGGCCCAAGCACTTGGGCCATCCTCCACTGCACTCCCTGGCCACAGCAGAGAGCTGGCCTGGAAGAGGAGCCACTGGGACAGAATCTGGCGCCCCGGCTGGGACTAGAACCCGGTGTGCCGGCGCCTCAGGACAAATAACTTTTTAAGGACTTAATACACTCAACAGTGGAATGAATTAAGTCAGAGCTTTTTGGTCACATGACCAAATCTTTGTTGCCCTGGAGCAAGCACCATGGCTGGCATAAGGAAATTAATAAAACTTAGTGGGCACTGTTTCTGATAGGGCACTGCTACCTAGCAACTTTTGCTTTAGCACATATTCAAGAAGCCCTAAATCTGGTACCTGGTCTAGAGTTATATTTTATATACCATTTACTATTGAGTGTAACATTTATAACCTTATTTATCTTCACTTGAAATTCTTCAATTCTTCGTTGTCGTTCTTTGATTCCTTCATCCAGCATAGTACATTGAGACTCAATATTTAATAGTTCACTTTGCAGCTGAGATTGTTCCTAATAACAAAAGAAAATTTTTCTTTTTATCATGGCCACAAACATGAGAGGTATGAGAGGTGCCTTTTAGAATAGAAGAATCCATGAGGAAAGATGGATTTGGGTACATCTGGATAACAAGATTAAACACCACAAAAAAGAATCGCGGTATTATTATGTAATCTCAATCATGGGGTATGGTATCTAAAAATCATGTCACTTAAATATAATTCCCAAACTTCCATATTCTAATTTCTATAATTAATTGGATTAAAGGATATGCTACCTGGTAAAAAGCAGCAAGCTGCTTCTTTTTAATCATCTCCAGTTCGCTCTGCGAATATTTGAGTCGTGTATGTGTTCCTTGTATCAGAGTCTGTATTTGTTTCAAATCGGTTTCCTTGCGGAGTGCCTTCATTAAATCCTAAAAGGAGAAATATGAGAACAAGTTACAACAGGAAAGCACTTTAACTTTTCCAAGCACTTTCACATGTAACAATTCACTGATTTTTACACACAACCACACCCACAATCATGTTCCTTTCTTCAGATAAGAGATTGGGCATGTAAGTCCATTAGCCATCCAGAGTGACCAAGCTGCCAAATAGCTTCCTAAAAAAACAAAACAAAACAAAACAAAACAAAAAACCCCAACATATTTCCTAAGAGGGAAGAATTCTGCATGAGAAAAGAAAATTGGGACTATGTGTTCCACTCAAAGCAGATAAATAGCCTGAGTAAGATCCTATGACACGGGGCTGGCGCTGTGGCATGGCCTGCGAGGCCACCGCCTGCAGTGCCAGCATCCCATGTGGGCGCCAGTTCAAGCCTGGCTGTTCCACTTCCAAGCCTGCTCTCTGCTATGGCCTGGGAAAGTGGTAGAGGATGGCCCAGGTGCTTGGGCCCCTGCACCCACGTGGGAGACCCAGAGGAAGCTCCTGGCTTTGGATCGGTGCAGCTCTGGCTGTTGTGGCCATCTGGGGAGTGAACCAGCAGATGGAAGACCTCTCTTTCTCTGCTTCTCCTTTCCTCTCTGTGTAATTCTTTCAAATAAATAAATCTTAAAAAGTTGAAAACAATTATAAAAAAAGATCCCATGACACACATGGCCCCTTGTCTACTTGTCTCCCCATTCCCTGTACTCACCCTTATTACTCACATTAACTCTCTGATTTATGTGTTCCTGTTATTTTACTCCAAGTCCTTATGAGTACATTCACCTATGGTCCTATACGCTGGTTTTGCAGGCATGATTTGCAAACTCAGAATCCTATGAGCATGTTTTTCTCATTGAGTTGTTCATACAAGCAAACTGATGAAGCTTTTTTTTTTTTTTTTTTTTGATAGGCAGAGTGGACAGTGAGAGAGAGAGACAGAGAGAAAGGTCTTCCTTTGCCGTTGGTTCACCCTCCAATGGCCGCCGCGGCTGGCGCGCTGCGGCCGGCGCACCGCACTGATCCGATGGCAGGAGCCAGGAGCCAGGTGCTTTTCCTGGTCTCCCATGGGGTGCAGGGCCCAAGCACCTGGGCCATCCTCCACTGCACTCCCTGGCCACAGCAGAGGGCTGGCCTGGAAGAGGGGCAACCGGGACAGAATCCGGCGCCCCGACCGGGACTAGAACCCGGTGTGCCGGTGCCGCTAGGCGGAGGATTAGCCTATTGAGCCGCGGCGCCGGCCCTGATGAAGCTTTTAAGTCTTTCCTTTAACGACTGCACTATTCCAGAGTGCGACTGTTCCTAAACCACACAGCTATTCTGCCAATGATGGACATTCACTTTGTTCCAAGGTTTTGTCCCCACAAACAAGGCTTTACCACAATTGTCTGAATATCCTCAAGTATTCCTGTTTTTGTTTCCAAAAACAAATTCTTCAAAGGGGTCAAAAACATTCGTGTTCTTATTTTACTGGCCGATGCTGGGTTGCTTCCCCCAAAACTGCAACAATTTACATTTTTATAAACAATGTATGAGTAATCTCTTCCATATATCACCACTAGCAATAGGCATTATACATATTATTTTCCTAATTCTTACTGATGCACATAAAATAATCTTAATTTGTATTCTTCTGAGTACTATATTTTATATGAAGCATTTCTTCATGCTTTACTGGCTTAAGGATTTCTTTTTAAATGAACAAAACCTATTTTTTGCCTAGGTGTTCCTATCATATTATGCTTTTCATGTCAATTGGTAAAGAGTTATTTAATATAAGATAGAATCTCTGGTCTTCATTTAAAATTTGTTAAAATGTATATAATGGCTTTTCTCTTCATGTTAAAATTATTTGATATTCCAAGGATATGGTACATCTAGAATTTAGTTTTACATGTCATAAGATGGGAATTAAATTACTTTTTTTTTTTTTTTTTTTTTTTTTTTTTGACAGGCAGAGTGGACAGTGAGAGAGAGAGACAGAGAGAAAGGTCTTCCTTTTGCCGTTGGTTCACCCTCCAATGGCCGCCGCGGCCGGCGCGCTGCGGCCGGCGCACCGCGCTGATCCGATGGCAGGAGCCAGGAGCCAGGTGCTTTTCCTGGTCTCCCATGGGGTGCAGGGCCCAAGCACCTGGGCCATCCTCCACTGCACTCCCGGGCCACAGCAGAGGGCTGGCCTGGAAGAGGGGCAACCGGGACAGAATCCGGCGCCCCGACCGGGACTAGAACCCGGTGTGCCGGCGCCGCTAGGCGGAGGATTAGCCTAGTGAGCCGCGGCGCCAGCCGGGAATTAAATTACTTTCACCAAATATACTGATACTGTTTATTAGGTAATCTAGCCTTTCCTCACTGAAAAAAAAACATTTTGTTGTATACTAAATTGTCAAATATACTAGTTCTAGTTCTGGAACTAGGGATTTGGCCTCCCGATGCTGTCTGTCCCTACACCAACATTATATCAGCTTGATTACAAATGGCTTTCCGGAAGTTTGCCACATACTATGACTATGACTAGTCTCAGAAAACCCTTTACTTGTAAGATTCAGAAGATCACTTTATCAATTATAAAAAAAAAAATCTCTGGTCATATTTTAAATAAAATTGCATTCAAGTCTTATATTAATTCAAAGACTTCTAATCTACAGACAGTATAATTCCTTTCAATTTTTTTTAAGATTTTATTTATTTATTTGAGAGGTAGAGTTACAGACAGTGAGAGGGAAAGACAGAGAGAAAGGTCTTTCTTCCGCTGGTTCACTCCTCAAATGGCCACAACAGCCAGAGCTGAACCAATCTGAAGGCAGGAGCCAGGAGCTTCCTCCAGATCTCCCACACCGGTGCAGGGGCCCAAGGACCTGAACCATCTCCCTCTGCCTTTCAGGACATAACAGAGAGCTGGATAGGAAGTGGAGCAGCCAGACTCAAACCAGTGGCCATATGTGATGCCAGTGCTGCAGGCAGCAGCCTTACTTGCTACACGACAGTGCTGGTCCCAAGATGTATTCTTCTACCACACTGCTGAATTCTCTACATAGGCATTTTACTTAGAAATCATGCATATATATTTAAAAAAGAAATCTTTTATTTTCTTTTTGTATTATCTTTGTAATATTTGGCACTAAAGTTATACTAGCTTTGTGCAATGAATTGGGAAGTTTCCATCTTTAGTGGTTTAAATAACCATTAGAATTATACTACACAGGGGCAGCACTGTGGCACAGCAGGTACAGCCACCACCTGTAGAGCTGGCATCCCGTATGGGCGCCAGTTCAAGACCTGGCTGCTCCACTTCTGATCCAGGTCTCTGCTATGGCCTGGGAAACCAGTAGAAGTTGACCCAGGTCCTTGGGCCCCTGTACCCACGGGGGAGACCTGGAACAATCTCCTGGCTCCTGGCTTAGGATCAGCATAGCTCTGGCTGTTGCAGTCATTTGAGGAGTGAACCAGTGGATGGAAGACTTCTCTCTCTATGCTTCTCTCTAACTCTGCCTTTCAAATAAATAAATAACTCTTTTTTTTTTTTAAATTATACTACACAGAACCTAGCTGTAACTTATGTGGTCTCAGAGTCTTTTTGAAAAATTTGTGGTTAAAATACAAATAACACAGGGCCAGAACTGTGGTATAGCAGGTAAAACTGCTACCTACAGTGCTGGCATTCAATATGGCCACTGGTTCTAGTTCTGGCTGCTCCACTTCTGATCCAGCTCTCTGCTATGGCCTGAGAAAGCAGTGGAAGATGGCCTAAGTGCTTGGGAACCTGAATCTATGTGGGAGACCCAGGAGAAGGTTCTGGTTCCTTCCTGGCTTCAGTCTGGCCTAGCCCTAGCCATTGTAGCCATCTTGGGAGTGAACCAGCGGATGTAAGATAACTCTCTCTTCCTCTCTTTCAAAAATAAATAATTTTTTTTATTTGACAGGTAGAGTTATAGACAGTGAGAGAGAGACAGAGAGAAAGGTCTTCCTTCCGTTGGTTCACTCCCCAAATGGTCGCCGAAGCCAGGAGCCAGGTGCTTCCTCCTAGTCTCCCATGTGGGTGCAGGGGCCCAAGCACTTGGGCCATCCTCCACTGCCCTCCTGGGCCCCAGCAGAGAGCTAGACTGGAAGAGGAGCAACCGGGACTAGAATCCGGCGCCTCTATGGGATGCCAGTGCCACAGGCGGAGGATTAGCCAAGTGAGCCACGGCGCTGGCAAAATAAATAAATCTTAAAGAAACTTAAGACATGGCTTTACCTTTAGCTCCTGGACTAGCAGTCCTCTTCTGTCTCTCATATTCTTTAACTCCTTTTCATCCCAGTATCTAGCCTTGTGTTTTAAGTCACTTGACCCTCCAGAGATCACCCCAGATTTCAAAAACAGTGTTCCATCAAGAGCTACCGTCTGTAAAATTAAAAATATTTTATCTTGAAGAAATGTACATAAAGATAAAAGTCAGGGACCTATGTAGCAATTTTAATAGCTGAGAGTTTGTAAATGAGGAAAATCAATCACTGAAATTTACTAATAAAACATCTAGTCTACGAAGCCCCACCACCCAATAAACCACAAAACCTGGGTACTAAAGCCCAACACAATCCTTAGCAACAATCAGCAGCAATTACGAAGGTTTAAAATGAGCTGTGTATCTGTTCCAAAATACACAATGATGAAAAGCAGAAACTAAAAATAGCCAATAATTTATATCACATGATCTTGTATTTTGAAGGATCTGACATACATATCAATGATAATTGTGAAAATGGTTTTATGAAAGATCCTGGTGAACAAGACCCCAGCAGAATGATCAGGCCATCAAGGAGAGAGGCGCCTTTCTCTGAAGGGAGGAAGGAACCTCCACTGTGATACGGCCTTGACTAAACAAGTTCAGAGTCAGTGAACTCAAGGGGCTTCCATAGCCTAAACAGTTCATAGCAAAAGTCTCGGGTGATTGCTGACATCATAAATAAGAGTGCCAATTGTTAAATCAACAACGGGAGTCACTGGGTTCATGCTCCCCACATAGGATCTCTGTTCTTAATGTGTTTAACTATGAAACTCAAAAACAACACTACTAGTCGAACAATACCCTATACCTGGTTCGGTTGTGTGAGTGCAGCCTGTTGAAATCCTTGCTTAGTATATACTAAGTTGATCTTCAGTATATGAAGGTAATTGAAAATGAAACGTGATGAAGGGCGGGATTGGGAGAGGGGAGGGCCACGGGGGAGGAAGCCACAACAATACAAAAGTTGCATTTTATATTCTACTTAAAACTATTGGTTGAACTCTGTAATTAATACACAATTACTCTTAGGTGTTTAATTAATGCTATAACTAGTACTCAAATAGTATTTTACACTTTGTGTTTCTGTGTGGGAGCAAAATGTGGAAATCTTTACTTAATATACTCTAAATTGATCTTCTGTATATAAAGATAATTGAAAATTAATCTTGATGTGAAGGGAAGGGGAGACGGAGTGGGAGAGGGGAGTGGTGTGGGTGGGAGGGAAGTTATGGGGGGGAGGAAGCTATTGTAATCCATAAGCTGTACTTTGGAAATTTATGCTCATTAAATTAAAAAAATGGTTTTAACACCTTTAGAATATCAAAACATCACTCTCATGGCCGGCGCCACGGCTCAATAGGCTAATCCTCCACCTAGCAGCGCCGGCACACCGGGTTCTAGTTCCGGTTGGGGCGCCAGATTCTGTCCCAGTTGCCCCTCTTCCAGGGCAGCTCTCTGCTGTGGCCAGGGAGTGCAGTGGAGGATGGCCTGAGTGCTTGGGCCCTGCACCCCATGGGAGACCAGGAGAAGCACCTGGCTCCTGCCTTCTGATCAGCGTGGTGCGCCGGCCGCAGTGCGCCAGCAGTGGCAGTCATTGGAGGGTGAACCAATGGCAAAGGAAGACCTCTCTGTCTCTCTCTTACTGTCCACTCTACCTGTCAAAAAAAAATCACTCTCCACAGTGGATATGAGACAAAGAAAGACATCTGAATGAAGTAAAGGTACAGTAAGAGCCGGAGGTTTACAGCCATGTATAACAATGCTTCATGAAAAGTGAAATCAGTTCTCAACATTCCACAAATGTTCCTCATTAAATTGTTCCAAGCAGGAGATCACCTTCGAAGCTCACATATGACGTAAGCTAACCAAAAGAAAGCCCAGCAGAATCTCGTTCATTCTTTCCAGAGATTCTGTGTACAGTATACCTTGTGGAGCGTGGAAAATGGTGCTAATCAGTAAGAAAAAACCCATTATCACGAAGTCATGAGAAGACAGTAGAGACAGACTCAGAGTAATCTGAAAGCACAGAATCAGGGGGTTTTGGCAGCAAAGTCTGCAGTAGGTAGCCTACTCCAGGCACCAGTTAAGATTAACTACATGTAACAGAACACTCCATTCATCCTCCTCTCGAACACAGAATTCCTAGGGAAAGCACTCCAGGGTTGTAGGTGGCTCTGTGGTTAACTAGAACCCAGGCTGCTTCTCTGATACTGCTGCCCTACCAGCCCTAGCACCCGGGTGATTTCTCATTATTTTCTGGAAGGCTCTGGGGAAGGTCTCTCCACCCAGCGCTAGTCTGACAGGGGTTTTCCTCATCAGGATCGCACTGGTTCTTGGGAGGGACAGCAGATTTCCACCTGACCCCAGGAGCCAGGGCTCAACTTAACCAGTGCGAAGATCTAGTGTAGGCAGGCACTTTCCCTGCCCAGGAAGACCACTGCGGACACACCTTGGTCACTGCTCCAACTTCCACATGCAAACACAAAGTGAGGGACGGGCATTCGGTGCAGTTCAGATGCTGCTTGGGATGCCCGTATCCCATAATGCAGTGCCTGGCTTGAGTCCCTGCTCTATGAGCAATCCCAGCTTCCTGCTGATGTGCACCCCTGGCAGGCACCGGTGCAAGTACTTGGGTCCCTGCCATTCACGTGGGAGACCCTGACTGAGCTCCTGGTTCAGCCCCAGCTGTTGTGGACTCTCGGGGGTGAACAGCAGATGGGAGATCTGTCTGTCTCTGCCTTTCAAAAAAGAAAAAGAGGGCCAGCGCTGCGGCTCAAGAGGCTAATTCTCCACCTAGCGGCGCCGGCACACCGGGTTCTAGTCCTGGTCGGGGCCCCGGATTCTGTCCCGGTTGCCCCTCTTCCAGGCCAGCTCTCTGCTGTGGCCTGGGAGTGCAGTGGAGGATGGCCCAAGTGCTTGGGCCCTGCACCCCATGGGAGACCAGGAGAAGCACCTGGCTCCTGCCTTCGGATCAGTGCGGTGCGCTGGCTGCAGTGCGCCGCCTGCGGCGTCCTTTGAAAGATGAACCAACGGCAAAGGAAGACCTTTCTGTCTCTCTGTCCACTCTGCCTGTCAAAAAAAAAAAAAAAAAAAGTGACAGAGAGGCAGGTTCTCTCTGTCTCCTGGAATATTTTCAGATCATACTGCTTCTGTCTGGCCAAAGTACATCTCTAAGGAGTGAAAACTGAGGAAGTACTTGGACTCACTACTTAGAAGATTCTAAATTGTCCTCAATACATCTTAGTGTGCGTCACTAGTGATGTGTATGTATCGGTCAGCATGTCTTACAGGAATCTTCAAAGTCATCGGGTTCAAGACGACTCCCAGAGTTTTATCCTCCACATCTACGTTCCAAAAATGAGGATGAGAGGAGCAGCAAACGTTTCTATTAAGAAACTTTCATGGCAGGCCACAAGTGACGGCCATTCGCCCTCAGTGGCCACCCCACGTTGCCACAATGAAATCCACGTCTGTCAGTAGGGGACGCTAAGCAGGCACTTTAAGGCTCTTACACAGAGAGGGCAGTGATGCAAGTGGGGGCTGGACACTGGTGCATAAAATGGACTGTCAGTGTGCATGCACCACAGGATCAGATGAGGAAGGAACATCAACCAACCTGGAATTCCTGGAAGAATTAAGAAGTAACTGAGAGATGAGAGTAGCAGACCAGACCATGGGACTCTCTGAAGCCATCAAAAAATGTGATGGAGGGCACCAGTGCTGTAGTACCGCAGGTAAAGCTCCTTGTCTGCAGCACAGGCATCCCATAAGGGCACCAGTTCAAGTCCTGGCTGCTCCACTTCTGATCCAGCTCCCTCCTAACATGCCTGAGAACACAGTGGAGGATGGCCCACGTCTTTGAGCCCCTGCACCCATGTAGGAGGCCCAGAAGAAGTTCCTGGCTCCTGGCTTCAGCCTGGCACCAGCCCTAGCCATTGCAGCCATTTGGGGAGTGAACCAGTGGATGGAAAATACGAGAGGTCAAGATTTTCAAAAAAGAATGTACATTTGGCCTTGGGCAAGTGACTGTACAGTGCTTGGGGGGGTTACCATTTATGTATAATGTGTCTTGACTGTTTTCTAGAAAAATTTAGTTTCATAGATTATAAATAAAAATTATAATTATATAAGGTCACTTCAAAAAGTTCATGGAAAATAGATTCAAAAGATAAACTTTACTGGGGCCAGCGCTGCAGTGCAGCGATTAAAGCCCTAGCCTGAAGTGCTGGCATCTCATGTGGGTGCCGGTTCTGGTCCCAGCTGCTCCACTTCCAATCCAGCTCTCTGCTGTGGTCTGGGAAAGCAGTGGAAGATGGCCCAAGCCCGTGGGCCCCTGCGCCCATGTGGGAGACCAGGGAGAAGCCGCTGGCTCCTGGCTTCAAATGCAGCCATTTGGGAGTGACCCAGTGGATGGAAGACCTCTCTCTCTCTGCCTCTACCTCTCTCTAACTCTGCCTTTCATATAAATAAATAAATAAAATAAATAAATATTTTTTAAAAAGACAGTTATCTTGGTACAGAAAAATTTTGAAATTCATGCATTTTTTTCAAATTACACATTTTCTATGAACTTTTTGAAGACCCCTTGCAGATATAAAATAATTTGTGAAAGGTTACTCAGTATCATGAATAAGTTATACATGAATTAACTCAGAATGTAAAATAAGCTCTTAAAATCTTTCCTGTTATTCAAAAAACATATATACTATATAGAGAAATATAAGGAAAATCCAAGGTTCAGCAAGAATATTTAGAGTATTATTCAGAACTTTTAGCTTTAGAATGTTTAGTTTTAGAATATTATTTAGAATATTTAGCTTTAGAGTCTTATTATTACAAATTCAATGTCTAAAATGTGATTTATATTGGGAAATGCTATAAACTTTAAAAACTCAGTTTAGTGGTAAGCACTGCGGTGCAGCCGCTTAAGCTGCTGCTTAGAACACTTGCATCCCGCATCAGAAGTGCTGGTTCCAACTCCTCTGTTTCTTAAGATTTATTTATTGGAGAGGCAGTTAGAGAGAGAGACAGAGAGAGAAGTCGCCCATCCACTGGTTCTCTCCCCAAATGGTCCAACGGCCAGAGCTGGGCTGATCCAGGGCCAGGAGAGAGGAGCTTCTTTTGGATCTCCCACGTGAGTGCAGGGGCCCAAGCACTTGGCCCTCTTATGCTGCTTTCCTAGACCATCAGCAGGGAACCGTATCAGAACTGGAATAGCCGGGACATGAACCAGCACCCACCCATAGGGAAGCAGGAGCAGCAGGCGGAGGCTTTATCTACTATGCCACAGAGCTGGTCCCACTCCTCTGCTTTATACAACTTCCTGTTCACGTGCCTGGGAAGGCAGCAGGTGATGGCCCAAATACTCATGTTCCTGCCACCCACATAGGAGACCTGGATGGAATTCCTGGCTCTTGGCTTCAGCCTGGCCCACCTCAGCTGTTATATTCATTTGTGGGGTGAAGCAGCAGACAGAAGATCTCTGACACTCTGCTTTTTATTTATTTATTTTTAAAGTTTTATTTTATTTATTTGAGTTAGAGAGAGAGAGAGAGGTAGACACACACACACACACACAGAGAGAGAGAGAGAGAGAGAGAGAGAGAGAGAGAGAGAGAGAGAGGCTGGCGCCGCGGCTCACTAGGCTAATCATCCGCCTAGCGGCGCCGGCACACCGGGTTCTAGTCCTGGTCTGGGTGCCGGATTCTGTCCCGGTTGCCCCTCTTCCAGGCCAGCTCTCTGCTGTGGCCAGGGAGTGCAGTGGAGGATGGCCCAGGTGCTTAGGCCCTGCACCCCATGGGAGACCAGGAAAAGCACCTGGCTCCTGCCATCGGATCAGCGCAGTGTGCCGGCCGCAGTGCGCCGGCCGCAGCGGCCATTGGAGGGTGAACCAACGCCAAAGGAAGACCTTTCTCTCTGTCTCTCTCTCACTGTCCACTCTGCCTGTCAAAAGAGAGAGAGAGAGAGAGAGAGAGAGAGAGAGAGAGAGAGATCTTCCATCCACTGGTTCACTCCCCAAATGGCTGTGATAGAGCTACGCCAATCCAAAGCCAGGACCCAGGAGCTTCTTTCGGGTCTCCCATATTGGTGCAGGGACCCAAGCACTTAAGCCATCTTTCATTGCCTTCCCAGGCCATAACAGAGCTGGATTGGAAGAGGAGCAGCAAGGAACTTGAACTGGTGCCCATACGGGATGCCGGCGCTGCAAGTCAGGCTTTAACCTGCGTGCCACAGCACTGGCCCCAACACTGTATCTTTTAAATAAATAAATAAGGTTCATGGGACATGCAAATTATGAAAAACAATGTATGGATTTCAAAATTTAGAAGAACTCTCAGTTTAAAGCTGAACATCACAGGAACTATTGAAGTCATAACTAACTTCAGTTCTCCATTGGTTTTCATTATAAAGGAGAACACGTGAAAGCATATACAAGCATTTGTTAACATAAACACTGCACCAACGTATCCAGAAGTGTGGCTCCAGGCTCCCTCCTTACTTTCCGTCTTTCAGGCCCACCAAATGCAACCCGCCGTGCTTCCTCTAGTGTCTCACAGACAAGGCCATTCCCACACACAAACTGGGTCACTTTCTTCAGCTGAGGAAGCTGAGTCTTAATGACATCAATCACCATCTTACAGCCTTTAATCTCTCTGAGGCTCTCGTTGATTGGCTTGATCTGAAAGGTGTACAAAATACTTGATATATCAGTTACATTAAAATAACCAATGCTTATTCAATTCTTACAAAATGTAAACATGACAGCAAGATTAATGATATACTCTTACATATAACAAGTTTGACAAAAACAGGATGAACCATAGTCCACCACTGGCTCATGTAATTTTTTGAAAGAACCAGGTGTGGGCCGGCGCCGCGGCTCACTAGGCTAATCCTCCGCCTAGCGGCGCCGGCACACCGGGTTCTAGTCCCGGTCGGGGCGCCGGATTCTGTCCCGGTTGCCCCTCTTCCAGGCCAGCCCTCTGCTGTGGCCAGGGAGTGCAGTGGAGGATGGCCCAGGTGCTTGGGCCCTGCACCCCATGGGAGACTAGGAAAAGCACCTGGCTCCTGGCTCCTGCCATCGGATCAGCGCGGTGCGCCGGCCGCAGCGCGCCGGCCGCGGCAGCCATTGGAGGGTGAACCAACGGCAAAGGAAGACCTTTCTCTCTGTCTCTCTCTCTCACTGTCCACTCTGCCTGTCAAAAAAATTAAAAAAAAAAAAAAAAAAAAAAAAGAAAGAACCAGGTGTGGGCCATTGGCTTATTAATAAGCCAGGGGTGGGTATTTGGTCAAGCAGTTAAGATGCCGTTTGGGAAACCAGAATCTCGTATCAGTTCCAGCTCTGCTTCTGCTTCTAGCTTCCTGCTAACGCGCATCCTGGGAGGCAGCTGATAATGGCTTTAGCTTGAGAGACCCGGACTGAGTTCCCAGCTCTCTGATTCGGCTACTGGAACATGAACATGGATGGGAGGTAGGTCACTCTCTACCCTTCAAAATAAACAATTAAAAAACAAAACAAAACTTCATCCAAAGCTAGAATGTGTAATTTTTAGATTTAACTCTGTTACTAACTAGTTAGGGCACAACAATGCTGAGAAGTGCTCTACACTCTCAAAATCGTAAAATCTGATTGAAAACCTGTACCCACTTGGATACATGCCAAAGAGCAGCACAGCAGCACGGAACTTAGAAAGCCATTTAGACTCAAGTGATCAGGAAATCCCTCAGACAGGCGCCATCACTTAGAGTGGGTCTACAGATATCAAAAAGTGCATTCCAAGTCAGTGTGCATGTACTAGGGTACTTCAAAAAGATTGTGGGAGATGGAATTAAAGTTTACTTTGGGGACCAGTGCTATTGCATAGCAGGTGAAGCTGCTGCCTGTGGCACCAGCATCCCATAAGGGCACCAGTTCGAATCCCAGCTGCTCCACTTCCAATCCAGCTCCTCCTAATGTGCCTGGCAAAGCGATGGAGAATGGCCCAAGTCCTTAGAACCCTGCACCCATGAAGGAGACCCAGTAGAAGCACCTGGCTTCCAGCCAGCCCAGCTCCAGCCATCTGGGGAGTAAACTAATAGATGGAAGATTTCTATCTGTCTCTTCGTAACTCCTTCACATAAATAAATCTTTTTTAAAGTTGATTTTGGTGCAGAATATTCTGAAATTCATGCCCAGTTTTCTTCATAATGTGTATTTACCATTAACTTTTTGAAGGCCCCTTGAATCCTTGGGAACATATATTTATGTAGGTTGAGTGTACGGAAGCAATCTAAGGTACTATCAAGGAATGAGAATGTGGGAGGAGGACAGAAGTATTCCCTTTATGTTTGGAACATTTCTGTGTAAGATTTTAATTATTTTCTAATTTTGAAAAATATTTACTTGAAGCCGGCGCCGTGGCTCAATAGGCTAATCCTCCACCTTGCGGCGCCGGCACACCGGGTTCTAGTCCCGGTTGGGGCGCCGGATTCTGTCCCGGTTGCCCCTCTTCCAGGCCAGCTCTCTGCTATGGCCAGGGAGTGCAGTGGAGGATGGCCCAGGTGCTTGGGCCCTGCACCCCATGGGAGACCAGGAAAAGCACCTGGCTCCTGGCTCCTGCCAGGATCAGCGCGGTGCGCCGGCTGCAGCGGCGGCCATTGGAGAGTGAACCAGCGGCAAAAGGAAGACCTTTCTCTCTCTGTCTCTCTCTCTCACTGTCCACTCTGCCTGTCAAAAAAAAAAAAAAAAAAAAAAAAAAAAAAAAAAAAAAAAAAAAAAAAAAAAGAAAAATATTTACTTGAAAGGCAGAGTGACAGAGAGTGAATGAGAGAAAGAGAAAGAATCTTATATCTGGTGGTTCACTAAGTGGCCGCACTCACAAAATAGTTGGGTCTGAGCCAGGCCAAAGTCAGGCATTAGGAAGTCCATCGTGGTCTCTCTCATGGGTGACAAGGGCCCAGGTACCTAGACTATCTTTTGCTGCCTTCCTAGGTGCATTAGCAGGAAGCCAGATGGTAAGCAGAGTACGTGGGACTTAAATCAGATATGGGATGCCAGGCTCACAGGTAGTAGTTTAACCTACTGGCTCCGCTGTATAAGATTTTTTAATTGTTTGGCTTGAAAAAAATCTCAAAGGAGGAATTACACGAGGATTTTGACAGACAAATCGGGGTAGGGGGTGGTAGTGGGTAGCAGGTATAGGCCACAGTGCGACAGCACAGAAGTCAGGTCTGGCCTCCAGTAACGCCAGCTGGCATCTGCAGAGCCCCTCCTCTGTGCAGCTGCTGTGCCACGGGCTTTACAGACTGATTCCCTAGAGATGGGGAAACTGAGGCTCAGAGAAGTCAACAACAAGTTCACAGGCGCAAACAAGAAGTAGGGCCGAGGGAGATGGCACTGTGGTGCAGGTTAATCCTCCACCTCCAGTGCTGGCATCCCATATGGGTGCCGGTTCTAGTCCTGGCTGCTCCTCTTGCAGTCCAACTCTCTTCTATGGCCAGGGAAAGCAGTGGAAGATGGCCTGCACTCGCGTGGGAAATCTGGAAGAATCTCCTGGCTTCGGATCAGCTCAGCTCTGGCCGTTGTAGCCATTTGGAGAGTGAACCATCAGGAGGAAGACCTTTCTCCCTGTCTTTCACTCTTGCTGTAACTCTACCTCTCAAATAAATAAAATCTTTAAAAGAAAAAAAAAAGCAGCAGGGCTGAGAACTGGGCAGAACGCAGTCCAACTTCAGGGCAGGTGCTCTCCACCACGATGCACACTGCCTGCAGGAAGTCCCGACCCCTGGAGACACCGAAATAGCCACCCAAGGACAGCAATCACGATTCCCTGTCTCAAGAACTCAGACTCTGGACATGGTAAGGAGTCTCAATACATACTTCAAATATTAGCCCGTGCCACCAAAAGCTGGCACACTAACTAAACACAAGCCATCCCCTGTTTATACTGGCTTGATGTAAGATTTTTCAACATCACAATGGTGCAAAAGAGATACACATTCAGTAGAAACTGCACTTTGAATTTTGATCTTTGGGATAGCAATATGCAGCAGGATCCTCTGCCCTGTGACCACGAGGGCAAACATAGTACTCTACAATATACTGGACTGCTAAGCTCTGAGGCTCAGCAGGTTAGAGGTATTAAATGCATTCCTGACTTTAAAATATCCTTAAATTATCTCATAGGATGAGTTTATCAGCGTAACTCCACCACAGGACTAGACTGGGAGGAAACGGCACGCTGTCAAGACAGAGCGGCCATCTGGTGATATTCTCTCCTTGCCACTGCATCAACACTAGCTATTCAGATGACTAACTGGCATCACAGACAAGGCTTTATCATTATTAAATACCAAACACCGCAAATTTCTTACATCAAGGTAATCCAGAGCAAGGAATGTCTCGGGTTCAGCTCTTTCCTCCTTCAGAAATCGAATACAATCTCTTGCTACCTTTTCAGAGGCTACAACAATGGCAACCATGTACCGGCCAAAAAGCTTAGTAACAGCGAGCTGGTATTTCTTATGAATAGGATGACATAGGTCAAGCAGTCTTCCAAACTTGGCAAGTTCCAAAAAAGAGAAAGAGAAATATATCAGTAAAAATTATATATAACTCATAGTATACTAATATAACAAAGCAGCACAAAAACTAACTTTATAAAATGATACATACCATCATTCATTTAGAGTCTCACTTAAGTGGATCTACACATCATTATGAAATGTCCAGATGGGTGTATCACACTTCATTTTTTTATCTTTTTAAAGATTTATTTATTTGAAAGGCAGAGTTAGAGGCAGAGAGCCAGAGAGGTCTTCCATCTGCTGGTTCACTCCCCAAATGGCTGCAATAGCTGGAACTGGGCCAATCTGAAGCCAGGAGCCTGGAGCCTCCCCCAGTTCTCCCACATGGGTGCAGGGGTCCAAGGACTTGGGCCATTTTCTGCTGCTTTCCCAGGCACATTAACAGGGAGCTGGATTGGAAATGGAGACTTGAACTGTTGTCTACATGGGACGCTGGCATGACAGTAGGCAGCTAATGCACCGCGCCACAGTACCAGCCCCCACACTTCATTTAAGAAACTAGTGAAGAGGGACTAGCTTTACCCAACTATTAAAAATGTTATAAAATAATATTAATTAAAAATTCATTACTTTATTATTAAACAAGTAAGCTATCATTTACTATAAACAAGTACTGAGCTACACACTGGATAAACATTACTTAACAAAACAGACTTCATACAATTTTCAGTCAAATAAGGAAGAAAGGCAAGAGTAATAATAGGTGTTGTGGCATAGCAGGTGAAAACACTGCCTGTGATACCAGCATCCCATATTCGAGTCCCAGCTGCTCCACTTCAGATCCAGCTCCCCGCTGATGTGCCTGGGAAAGCAGTGGAAGATGGTCCAAATGCTTCGGCCCCTGCACCCCTGAGGGAGACCTGGAAGAGGTTTCTGGCTCCTGTCTGGTCCAAATCTGGCCGTTGCAACCATCTGAGGAGTGAGGATCTCTCTCTGTGTCCCCCACCCCATAACTGCCTTTCACATAAATGAAACAAATCCGTTTTTTAAAAAAAGAGTAATAATTACATGTGTACAAATCTGAGACACTGTCAAAGTATATGGAGCTTTGAGAGTACATAATAGGGAAAACGTGGCCCAAGAAGCCATGGAATATCTCCCATGAAGAACTGTAATTTAACATGAGATTTGAGGAATGGCCAAGAATTCTTTAGAATGAAGTTCAAAAACCTTTCTAGAAAATGTCTGAATCCTAACAGTCTCTAGAATGTCTAAAGATTTAATTCTACACCTTTGGTCTTACTGCTATTTGTTAGGTTCTACTTCAGGAATACCAATTTCTTTATGATGGATCATCATCTTTCATATTTATTATATCTTAAATCTCTTTCTTCTCTATTCATCTTTGATTATCCCAGGCTTTTCTTTTGGGTAAAAAATTTTATTTTTACCTGGGTAACCCATTCCTGGCTACTTTATTAGTGTTCCTCAGTTTTTCTTTTGTTTGTTTGTTTTTGACAGGCAGAGTGGACAGAGAGAGAGAGAGAGAGACAGAGAGAAAGGTCTTCCTTTGCCGTTGGTTCACCCTCCAATGGCCGCTGCGGCCGGTGAGCTGCAGCCGGCGCACCGTGCTGATCCGAAGGCAGGAGCCAGGTGCTTCTCCTGGTCTCCCATGGGGTGCAGGGCCCAAGCACTTGGGCCATCCTCCACTGCCTTCCCAGGCCACAGCAGAGAGCTGGCCTGGAAGAGGGGCAACCGGGACAGAATCTGGCGCCCCAACCGGGACTAGAACCTGGTGTGCTGGCGCCGCAAGGCAGAGGATTAGCCTGTTGAGCCGTGGCGCCAGCTCCTCACTTTTTCTAACTTATTAGTCTACACTATTTATTAATTAAATGTGAATGAAGGGTAAATATTTGGTAAAAGGTTTTCCTATTGTTTTCTTCTAAATTTCCCTTTTCATATTTTTTGTTTTACTGCGTATTTGAATCTGATGTTATGAATTCAAATTATCCCTGCCACGAAGCGCGTGGGGGATTTGTTCTGTAGCCTTCCACACTGGGTCTCGGCCTCTGATGCTCTTTATTACCGTGCTCTACACCACCAGTGATTCTTTTCACTTTGTATATGTTCAGTGTGGACAGCTCGGCTGACAGCTTTTACTGGGTGTGACAGGCAACTTTTTTTAAAATTCCTTTTCCCACAGAACTGAGAAGGTTATCTCACTGAGCAACAGTTGATGGAAAATGCATTTCCTGTTCTATCCATTTTCCTATCACCTGAGAGCATAGAAGACAGGGCAAGTGAGAGCTCACCCGAAGTCCTGGAGGAAGATGCTTTTGCGGAATCGCTAAGTTCTGCAGTCCCTTCTGAGTGTTATATGAATACCCTACACCCAGGCCTTTCCACAGTGTGGGAGAACAAACCCCATTCTGCCAAGAGGGCTCCAAGTGGCCCCTGAAGTTAATGAGGGCCTTCACTTCCATTACAGAGTATCACGGGTTCTTGTTCCTTGATTCAGCAGTTTTCTAATCTAGCTCCTTCTGGTTAGAAGAGGAAAAGCAAACAGACATGAGTTTGGCCAGTGCCGCGGCTCACTAGGCTAATCCTCCGCCTTGTGGCGCCGGCACGCCAGGTTCTGGTCCCGGTCTGGGTGCCGGATTCTGTCCCGGTTGCCCCTCTTCCAGGCCAGCTCTCTGCTGTGGCCAGGGAGTGCAGTGGAGGATGGCCTGAGTGCTTGGGCCCTGCACCCCATGGGAGACCAGGAGAAGTACCTGGCTCCTGCCATCGATCAGTGCAGTGCGCTGGCCACAGCGCGCCGGCCGCGGCGGCTACTGGAGGGTGAACCAACGGCAAAGGAAGACCTTTCTTTCTGTCTCTCTCTCTCTCACTGTCCACTCTGCCTGTCCAAAAAAAAAAAAAAAAAAACACAAAACAAAACAAAACAAAAAAAAAAACAAAACAACAACAAAAAAAAACCAGACATGAGTTTGCTTCTTGTTAGATTAAGGGGTTCTAGGTGAGAATTCCTACAGATTAGTCAGTTTGGCTTCTATGGAATCAAGAATAATCGATGCTGGGGGCCGGCACTGTGGCGTAGCTGTAAAGCCACCGCCTGCAGTGCCAACATCTCATATGTGCACTGGTTCGAGTCCTGGCTGCTCCACTTCCAATCCAGCTCTCTGCTATGGCCTGGGAAAGCAGTAGAGGAAGGCCTAAGTCCTTGGGCTTGGGCCCCCGAACCCAAGAGGGAGACCTGGAGGAAGCTCCTGGCTCCTGATTGTTGTAGCTCTAGCCATTGTGGACATTTGGGGAGTAAAATAGCAGATAGAAGACCTCTCTCTCTCTCTCTCTCTCTCTCTCTCTCTCTCTCTCTCTCTGCCTCTCTGTCTCTCTATAACTCTACCTTTCAAATAAATAAATAAATATATTAAAAATTAATCAGTGCTATACTTAAATTACTATTATTATTATTTTTAGTTCTTGACTATCACTGTTTTCTGAAGGCTATGGTATTAGGTTGGCTGTTTGTTAAACTATTTTTTTATCTAGCTTTTGTCATTTTGTGAGGAATTAGGGAAAATAAGATTCTATGAATCAGCCTTACTCCTCTATCATTAAGATGTCAAAACCAACATTTAAGAGCAGAAAGCCAAAAAAGTGCTGAAAAGAGAGATAGGAGGAAGACCACAAGAATGTGGAGCCTATGGCAAGTGCTTTGAAACAGGCCAATGATTCACAGTGTCAAATGTTGAAATTACCATCATTGAGGGACTGTTTGCTAACAGCGGTGATAAGACAGTCAGATAAGACAGCCAGAACCCTAACACCAAAGGAGATAAGGCTGTGAGGCTGGTGCCACAAGCCCCAGGAAACATCTTCCTAGTTTGACTAATGAATACACTAGCAATATTGGGTGCACAGACTTAGAGAACAAAATTATGCCAATTATGTCTACTGGAAACATATTCTTTAAAAAACTGAAGCCATTTTAGTACATGAGGTTTGGGACATATGTCTGGGAAATCAGACTACTTCATAGCACTTACTGCTTTGGGGAACTGACCATAACTTGGGTTTTCTGGGTGCTGTGTTCATGGCAATGGTTTTCCTCAATAATTACTTATTTACAGACATACTGAAAATTATTCCCATTTCATTCTAATTATTTACTGTTACATTATAAATATACATATAAATTGTCAAACACAAAACTTAAAGCTTTCTGAAGTAATTCTGCTAACAGGAATATTTCTAATCCAAATGAGAAGACATCTTTTCTCCGAACAGGGACTGACTAAACCCAACTGCCCGTCCTAATTACCACAGACTCTGGGTAGAGTCTCTTCAGGTGCTCCAGGACTTCGGCTCTCTTCTGCTGGCGTTTCCCCTCGTGGTGGTCAATCCCAGCACTCTGCAGTTCACTTCTAATGAGATTCAGTTCTTCATTGACCTCAGACATTCTCTGCTTTGTTTTTTCAATGTCATCCGATAGAGTTTCCTCTTGTTGTTTTTTATCTTTCAAGCAATCACTACACAACAGGAACAAAATCATACAGCAAGCAGAAACAGAATTCAGGAATTATCAGACAAAATATTCCTGTGTGGCACTGCCGAGGAATGCCGCAGTGCTGTCACTAACAGAGTCTGCTTCTTGTTAGATTAAGGGACTGAAGGAAGACATAACTCAATAAACACAACACTAGACTTGAGCACAAGAGGTTTAGGTCACCATTTGTTGATTCAGAATGTACGTATTTCCAGATACCAAAAAAGATAACCCAAGCCAGAGTAATCAGCATGAGCTTGGTAATCAGGAGATGCCACACCAGAAGTCCTCAGCATCAAATATTTGCATCAGCTTTCATGACATATTCAGTAATTGTACCAAAAGGGAGTTATTTTCATCACACTTACATATTTTTATTTTCAAAATTTAAATATTTTACTGATTCTTATGCAGTTAGGTATAATCATCTCTAGTAATCCACAATAAAATGGAGAACAAGGGAGCACTGAAAGCACACAGCACAGTGGGAACAGTCATCTGAAGGACAGAAATGCACAGGGCTATGAGGGAGAGCTGCGAGGGTTTTTACTCTACCTACATGCATGTCTTTGTATACTCCTCCAACTTCTCTATGCGCTTTTTATGATCTTCTATTTGTTCTTTTATTTGTTTCAGATTTCCCTAAGACAGGAAATGAAACTTAAGGTCAATTACAGTAATTCCAAGCCAACAAAATTCCATGCTGAGTTTGCTATTTATCAAGTGTGTAAATATGAAATAAGAGAAATGTAATTACATGGAAATACTTTGAAATTTAAAAGATTATTTATTTGAAAGGCAAAGCACCAAAGAGAAAAGGAGAAGGCTCGGCCAGGAGCCCAGGAACCAGGAAGTCCATGGGGGTCTCTCACACAGATGACGGGGGCCCAAGCACTCCAGCTACCACCTGCTGCCTTCTCAGGTGCATTAGCAGGGAGCTGAACTGGAAGCGGAGCAGCCAGGACTCCAAGCAACACTCTGAAACGGGCTGCTGGCACTGCAAGCAGAGGCTCAACCCACTGTGCCACATGCTTGCCCTATATAGAAATACTAGGAGAGAAAAGTTTAATTTCGAAAAGGAAGTCTAGTATAAAGCCTTGAAGTTACACTGATCAGGCTTTGATCTCGACTCCACCATTTGCTAGATATTTAATCTGTAGCAATTTCACTATGGTAACTTCAAACTCCAAGAGAATTATTTTCATCTATAGAGTTTCTTTTTCTCTCAAAATGATTCATTCAACAAACATTATCCACTAGCTACTATGTGATAGGTGTTACAGGTTCAATAACGACCAGGATAGAGTTTCTGCCCTCAAAGATGTTTAAATAAGCAATGACAGTAGAGTAGTTTAGTCCCATAATAATACAGGAATCTGCAGGGTAACTAACAGGCTCATGCAGGGCACACTTGACAAAATTCTTGCTCTGTTCACCATACCACTAAACCCAAATACTCCAGTAATCTGCAACCAGTTTCCTGTTTTCATATTTCCCAATTCATCTTGTGCATTATGGAAACAATGTCTCTGTTGCTACATAATCTAAAATCAGGTGTGTGTGAAAATAAAACACAATTCTTTTTCAATGTAGAATACCAAGGAAAGAAGAAATACCACAACTTTCAAGTAGAAATGGACAAACATATTCCATGAAGGTAATTATCTTGTTTTACTTATCACACAAATTCATTGAATATCTGTTTGTGGCAGATATGGGTTAGAAAAATGAGCAAGACACAGTTCCTGTTCTGAAGGAACTTGCCCATGTTGAAATTACAGTGCTTGTATTGAAAAGTCTTTTACATCACTATTTAGAGGAGGAAAAAATAAGACCAAAGAGCTACAGTAACAATGTTCAGTCAAATGGGAAGACCTGTCTCTGCTTTTATCTCTGTTCCCAGGGTCTGGGTCATGCCAGGGCCAACAAGAGAAGAGAAGGCATGGGTCCCATCTCTTCAGTCATCCCACAGGGAGGAGTCAGGGCCTGGGTGTTTTGCTGGACACAGTTGGGTAATCAGACTAGCTACACAAGCTGGATTTGACATGCCAGCTGATCCCGCTATTTGTCTGAGAAAACCAACTACTGCCCAGCACCAGAGATCTTGAGATCTGTTGCAAAGCCTCCTGCGTGTGAAGGAAGTCCTCGGTCCTGTGGGAAACTAAGATTGGGTACAGTTCTTTCTCCATCTTTCTCCATCTGATGTGTTATTTCTTATTATTATTTGTATTCAAGACAACAGCAATTAGCCAACACTTACTGACATCTACTAAGTGCAAAGTTTACAATGGACATGATTATGAAGCATGCCTTTTAAGCTTCTTGTCGGGGCTGGTACACGGCACAGCAGTTTAAGTCATTGTCTGCAGTGCCACAGGTTTGAGTCCTGGCCGCTCCACTTCTGATCCAGCTCCCTGCTGGTGCACCTGGGAAGGCAGTGGAGGATGACCCAAGTGTTTGGGCCCCTGCACCCATGTGGGAGATCTAGATGAGGCTCAAGGCTCCTGGCTTTGGTCTGGCCCATCCCTGGTCATTGCAGCCATTTGGGGAGTGAGCCAGTGGATGGAAGATCTCTGTCTCTGTCACTCCCTCTCTTGCTGTAACTCTTTCAAATAAATCTTTAAAAAAAGAAAAAAAGGAACTTCCAGTCTAGAAGAACCAACCTATTAACTGTAATTTTAAAATTTTTTCAAAAAGATTTTATTTATTTGAGAGGCAGAATTACACAGAAAGGTGCTTCTATCCACTGGTTCACTCCCCAAATGGCTGCAACGACCAGAACTGGGCCAATCTGAAGCCAGGACCAGGAGCTTCTTCCAGGTCTCCCATGCGGGTGCAGGGGCCCAGGCACTTGGGCCATCTTCATCTTCCATTGCTTTCTCAGTCCATAATCAGAGAGCTGGATAGGAAGTAGAGCAGCTGGAACATGAACCGGCACCCATATGGGATGCTGGCGCTACAGGTGGAGGCTTAGCCTACTACGCCACAGCACCAGCCCCTAGCTGTATTTTTTATGCAATCTGATAAAAGCTCTTAGATATATATTAAGGACAATGGATAACTATATGAGGAAGAATTGTTCTGGCTCCTGTTTGGAGTGGTGTGGAGAGAAAAGGAGGGCTATGGAGAGCTCTGTGATATGGGTACTAAAGAACTTAATGTGTAAAGATCAAGTTATTCTAAAATAAATCAGCATATACATAGGTAAAAAGGTGCAATGTGTATTTTCAGAAAGCAACGTATAGCTTTATAATGTAATACAAATTATACAAGTAGACAAATATTTTAAAAGTAATTCCTGCTGTGTACTGTTTCTGTTTTTCTCCCTACACAAAACACCCCTCTTCTCACAGGACTATCATATACTGTATTTTTCATAATTGTTTGTATTTTCATCTGCTAAACCACAAAAATCACAGTGTAAGTATGAAGGAAATTATTTCTGGAGACAGTGTTTTGAATCTCATCTCAGTTCTACTTATTTAGATGATTCCCTTATCTGTAAAATATTTTAATTCAGTAAGTATTCACCGAGTGTATCTCTAGATAAGAAACTATTCTAGGTGCTTGGGATGTACCAGTGTGCACAGCAAATGTCCCTGCTCCTGTCTACAGGAGGAAGACAGATAAAAATGTTGAGTAAATTAGAAATGCTATGTTAGGAGATTAATGCCATGGGAAAAACACAGCCAGGGAAAGGAAGGCCAAGTGCAGTGAGGACTACAAGTTTAAACAGGGAAGTCACAGTAGGCCTCATCAAGAAGGCAATAGAATTACAAATGAAGAAACTGGGCAGGTCACGTGGTGCAGTGAGTTAATCCCTGGGATGGAGTCCTGGCTACTTTGGTTTTAATCCGGTTTCTGGTTTATATACCAGGGAGACAACAGATGATGGCTGAAGTACCTGAGTCTCTACCACCCATGTGGGAGACCCAGGCTCAGTTCCTGGATTTGGTCTGGCCCAGCCCTGGCTGTTGCAGGCATTTGGAGTGAACTGGTGGATGGAGATCCTGTCTCTTTCAGTCTGCCTTGAAAATAAATAAGTAAAACTTTTTAAAAATGAAGGAATGTTAGGAAAGCCCATTCCAGGCTGAGACAATCAATATAAAGGCCTTCTGGCAGAAACACGTAGAGTATGTTCCACAAAGCCAGTGCAGCCAGATCACAGAGAATAACACAGAGAGTAGAAGAAGAGGGGTTCAAGAGGTGAATGGGGAAAGGCAGGAGAACAGATCAGGAAGTACATGTGGGTCACTTATGAGCTTTGATTTAAACTTCACTGGAGGATTTATAAAGCAGCAACTTTCTTAAGTTGACTAGTAAAAGCATCACTCTGGCTACTGTGGCATGACCACTCTGTTGGAGTCAAGAACTGGAATTAGAGAGACTTAGTCCAGTATACTGATCTAAATCCTGAGGAAGATGGTGAGATGAGCAAGGTGGCAGCAGTAGAAATGCAGAGAAGCAACTGGATTCTTGGTATATTTTGATATAGAGGCAACAAAATTTCCTAAAAGAATAAAAGATGGACTCCATGCTTTTGGCATCAGCCACTGGTTAAGACTGAATCGTCATCACTTCGGCTGTGAACGGTTACGTGTGGAGCACAATTGGGTGGAAGATCAGGCGTCCTGTCTGGCACCTGAATCTTGAGATGTCTTCAAAACACCAAACGGAGAGGCTGCAGCTCAAGGTGTGAGCTAGATACACAAATCTGGAGTCATCGGCAGATAGCATTTAAAAGCTCTCAGATTACCAAGGCAGTGAATCAGACAAAAGAAAAAAGCCAAGCTCAGAATACAATTACCTCACAGGGTTATTTCTTAAATAAACTGGGTTTATAGCAGTGCATACATAGTATACACAAGTAAACCCTTCACTATAATACTACTGTTATTCCTGGAAGATGTCAGACCCATTTTTAGAGATGTCATTTTGAAATGCCACCCTCAGTTTCTTCATTTGTATATCAGAGCAAATACACACTCCTGCTACACTGTTGTGAGACTAAAATGAAGCTAATGAGTGTAAAGTGCCTAGCAGAGCAATCAGGTTTTTTCCCCCTGTAAATTTCCAATTTATAAATCAAATACATATATATGTATGAATACATACACATATATGTTTTATATATGTATGTATATACACCCATATATGTTATATATGTATACATACATATATATGTTTTATATATATATATATTAAACAATTTCCCCATTACAGCTGTTAGAAATGATGGTCACGGGCTGGCGCTGTGGCTCTGTTGTTAATCCTCCACCTGCGGTGCCAGCATCCTATGTGGGCACCAGATTCTAGTCCCGGTTGCTCCTCTTCCAGTCCAGCTCTCTGCTGTGGCCCAGGAGGGCAGTGGAGGATGGCCCAAGTACTTGGGCCCTGCACCCACATGGGAGACCAGGAAGAAGCACCTGGTTCCTGGCTTCAGATCAGCGCAGCGCCAGCCATAGTAGCCATTTGGGGAGTGAACCAATGGAAGAAGCCCTTTCTCTCTGTCTCTCTCACTGTAACTCTGTCAAATAAATTTAAAAAAAAAGAAAGAAAGAAAGAAATGATGGTCACAAACACTCTAATACACAATGAATTATTATTGTTGAATGTGCCATAATAACAATGTTATAGCCCAGTTCTCTTTTTTTAATTCAAGAGGGAAGTTGGGGGTGGGGAGAGGGAAAAGAAGAGAGAGGGAGAGGGTTGGAGAGGGAGAGAGGGGGAGAGGGGGAGAGAGAAGGAGAGAGAGGGAGAGGGAGAGAGGGAAAGGGAGGGAGAGGGAGAGGGTTGGAGAGGGAGAGAGGGGGAGAGGGGGACGGAGAAACAGGTTCCCTCATCCACTGGTTCACTCCCTAAATGTCTGCAACAGTCAGAACTGGAAGCCAGTATCCAGAAACTCATTCCAGTCTGCCGCATCATGTGGCAGCTACCCAACTGCTTGGGCCATCACCTGCTGCCTCCCAGGATCTGCACTGGCAGAAACCTACAATCAGGAGCTGTGAACTCAAGCCAGGAACCCTTTATGGGAGGTAGGCATCTCTGGTAACTTAGCTGGTAAGCCAAACACTCGCCCCTCAGTCTCAGTCTTTAGAAAAGATGGTCAGGAGCACAAGTGGGTGAGGCGAGATGCTTGGTGCACTGGCACACTCCCTGTGGTCTTATTCAACACGTCCATCACTCTAAGACAGACACACCTACCTTCAAATAGCTATAAGATGTAAAATAGATATCCTCAATTCATGCAAATGAAATCAAAGCCCAGAGTTATGTAATTTATTACACACATCAAGTGAAGAACAAGTCTGGCTGGAGGCAGCACGGCCCTCATCTGAGACAGACCAGCACAGTGCTGCTGTGACCCTGTCTCCAAGGCTACTCTGATGGAGACTGACCCCTCTTGGGCGCCAGGTCCTTCATGTTTCCAGTGATTGCCTTCACCTCTATGAGGACACTTATTTTTTTTTCTCTTTCTCTATCCTCCTCCTAACCCTACTTGACTAACATACATTTTTTTTTTTTTTGACAGGCAGAGTGGACAGTGAGAGAGAGACAGAGAGAAAGGTCTTCCTTTGCCGTTGGTTCACCCTCCAGTAGCCGCCGCGGCCGGCGCGCTGCGGCCGGTGCACTGCGCTGATCCGATGGCAGGAGCCAGGAGCCAGGTGCTTTTCCTAGTCTCCCATGGGGTGCAGGGCCCAAGCACCTGGGCCATCCTCCACTGCACTCCCTGGCCACAGCAGAGGGCTGGCCTGGAAGAGGGGCAACCGGGACAGAATCCGGCGCCCCGACCGGGACTAGAACCTGGTGTGCCGGCGCTGCAAGGCGGAGGATTAGCCTAGTGAGCCGTGGCGCCGGCCCTAACATACATTTAAGACAGTATATCTTCGGATCTATCTAGCACTATATAGATGCACAAAAAACACTTACTGAACACATGAATGAAGGCACTATCTCTACATTTGAACCATAAACAGCACCTAAATCAAGAGGTAACTAAAAGTTTTTAAATTGTTTTATTTGATATAATTTATATAATGAAAGTTAATACAAAAAGCTAATATCTCATTGACAATAATTCTAAATCACTACTGCATGACCCAAGGTACCTGAACTTCTCCACGCCGTCTCTTCTCAAATGCCAGCCTTTCTTCCTCCGCCCTCTGTTCCCATTGCAGTTTCTCTAGTTGTTGAGTCATTATAGCTACTTTCCTCCTCACTTGTTCCTTAAGTTCTTTATAACGTTCCAGCTATACAGACAGCATTAAAACACCATTAACACACTTATAAAGCACAAGAGGAAATTCTTTGTATGATATCCTATAGTAGCATGTAAGTAATTTTATAAAATGTTCATAGAAGTAAGATCATAATTAGCCTTTTATCTAGGTAAATTAATGTAAATATGAAAATATATAAAATTGTGGAGATAGAGCAACAAAGTGTTCTAAACAAATGCTATAATCAGATCTTTGTCAGAACATCTCAAAAAAGAATACAGAGAAAATGGTGTGTTTTTTTCTACTTACACAGTCATAATTATTTTGTATACAGTGTAAGGTTATAATAAAATTAATGAAAAAATACAAATTTAGTTAAGAAAATGGAAACAGTTACTTTTTTGGGTATCTATATTGATAATTCAATCTTCTATACTAATCTGGATATTAATTCATTAATAGCCATTTTCAATCACTTCACATAATCAACTTCTCTCCTGTCAAGTGATTATGTGTCTGACTTTTAAGGTTTTATGTTGTGAAACAAAATGATTACCTTAAAAATAGCAACTTTTATTTCAGAATGATACCATGTAAATGCTACTGAAGTATTTCTGGGACTTAAATTAACTCAGAAATGTTATAATAGCATCATTTTGTAAAGGAACAATAACCTCAATCTAAAGATTAAATCTGGGTTGTGAGAACATGTTGAAAATTTAAATTCTCAAAATTGACATTCTGTGGATAATCTTTTAAAAGAGAGGTCATACTTTACATTTTTTCTAATTAAAGGGAAAAGCTGAAATTGAAGCAAAATATTTCCCGTATGTTGACTTTTTCACCTGACTGGCTTCTAGTTCAATGTCTCTCCCTTTACGTAAGATTTCTTCCTCGATCTGTTTTTCAAAACTTTTCCATGCCCCATCTAAGTCAGCCAGCTCTGTCTCCAGGGCTCTTAGATCGTCCTGCTGCTTGGAGCACTGTTTTTCACTGTCCTGTATTGACTTCTTAGCCATGTCTGCCTTCTTGAGGTGGTGAGAAGTGTTCTCTTTGGCTTTAATGTACTGAGGTCTCTTCTGATTCAAAAGTGCTTCAAGAGATCTGAAAAGGAAAAAAAGTTAACTTTGAAGGAGGGGAGTACAGGAATGCTCTTTATTATCTTGATAATTTTTCCCTGTATCTAAAAGTATTCCAAAGGTAAAAGCTTACTTCGATAGTAAAAAATCTTCCAAAGAATCACTTACAGTTTTATTTTTTCTAATGATCTATATAAAGCCAAACTGTTAGTAATGCCTATTTTTTTTAAAAATAAAACTCACTTTAATTCTTTTTCTGTTTGTTGTAGTTGTCTACTTAGCATCCCATGCTCCTTTTTCTTGGCTTTAACTATGTTTTCATGATGAGAGAGAGACTCTTTTGTGACACTCAAATCCCTATTCACATGCTCCAACTCAGTGGTCAGAAAATGAATTTTTTTCTCATTGTGGTATAGTTGGAAAAGCTGCAGTTGGATTTTGTTTATTCTCAGTTCTTCAAGGAGACTTTGGTAACGTTCTGCCTATAAAACAGCACAATTCATCAGCAGTGAAAAGGAGTATAGTTAAGCTGACCTTAAACTCAACTATTGTACCAACAAAAAGTCTCTAATAATTTTTATGTCACTAAGCAACAATATTTTTACCAAAAGTACTATTATTCACAGAGGGTTTTTGGATACACATCTACAAACTAGTAAACCAGGAAATGATTTTACACTCAGTGATATGGTGGTAAGAACGACGAAGTGGCATCTGCTAATCTAATCCTATTTCTGCCTTGACCTCTGAGTCTGACCAGCCCGTTAATATTTCTGACATCAGGTTTCGTGTTTGCAAACTGAAGGAAGAGCACTATGTGATTTATAATGCCCTCAGCAATTTTACATGTAGTGGTGCCAGGTAAAATTCCCGCTAAAGGAATTTACCTTTCTACCAGTAGAACAGCTCGTAGGAAGAATTTCCTCAATACCTGTATTATTAATAAAGACATAATAGAACGAGCTGCCTCAAGAGGAGTGCTCCTGATCAACAACAACGTAGTCCCAAGTAACAGGCAAACAACCATGTCCAAGGATGTTATAGAAATGGTCAGGAAGTCTGACTGTTCAGAAACTGTCCATGTAACACTTGAAGTCCTAAAATTCTTCCATCTTCTGGTTCATTCCCTAAATGGCCATAATGGCCAGGGTCAGGCCAGGATGAAGGCAGGAGGCTGGAGTTCCACCTGGGTCTCCCATGGGTGGCATAGGCCCATGTATGTGAGCCATCTTCCATTGCTTTCCTGGACACCTTAGCAGGGAATTGGATTGGAAGTGGAGCAGCCAGGACTTGAACTGGCTTTCTGATACATCAGTGTTGCAAGCAGCGGCTTAGCCAGGGACACAGGTCCCTTAAGTCCCGAAATTCAGTGAACTATTTCAAAACATTGTGACTATTAGATCCTGACTTAGGCTGCAGCCATTCCTTCCCACTAACAACACCAAGGATATATATACATATTCAAAACGATGAAGAAACACAGAAACATCACTAATAAGGGAGATATTCTCTTTATTTATTGCTTCAAATATTTATTGTTTACTATGTGCTGGCAATAAGGTGAACAAGGAAGATAGTTCCTGCTATTATAGTTTGAATCTCAGTTACACTAATCAGGCAGAGGAGAAGGCAGTTAGAATAAACAAGCAAACAAATAATAATATAATTTCATACAGCAATATGTTAAAAAATAGAATAATGACAGTACATGGTAATATGATAGTACATGATGGAGCTAATTTAGAATGGGGGTATGGACAGCAAAGGCCTAAGGAAATGGCTTGGACAAAAAAACCACTTTGAGTAAAAGAGCACCAGCCATACAAAAATCAGGCATAGCTTTCTAGGCCGAGGAAACTGCGAAAGCCCCAGGACAGAGGAGAGAACTTAGTGTGTTCAATGAACAACAAAGGTTGTAGTGGAGAAGAGGAAGCTAAAAGTCAGAGCCGTTAACGGGCCAGATCACCAGGGCAATGGAAGCACCAGCATCAAAGTTTCACACAAGGGAAAGAGGCTTTGATCTGTATTTGAAAAGGATTGCTCTAAAAGCCAACAACTACCAACCACAGACAAGACATCTGCTAGGGCCAAAGAAGGGCGTTCACAGAGTACGCCTTGGCCTCCTAGGAGTCCCCAAGACCTCTGCAGGGAGTTCCCATGGGCAAAGCTATTTTTCACAATACTAAGGTCTGTTGCTCTCTTCAGGGTGTTGACATTTGCACTGATGGTGTGAAAGCCAGTGGTGGTAAAGCTGCGAGGCCTCAGCGTCAGTATGCTTCAGTGCAGAAGTATTTACCAGAGTCCGGCTGTCACTGTTAAGCCAGACATTAAGATTATAAAAATGCAAAACAATGCCACTCTTCTAACTAATTTGTTTTGGAAAATACAGTTATTTTTCTTTTTTCTTAAGACTTATTTTCATTATTATTACTTTTTTTTTGACAGGCAGAGTTAGACAGTGAGAGAGAGAGAGAGACAGAAAGAAAGGTCTTTCTTTTTTCCGTTGGTTCACCCCCCAAATGGCCTCTACGGCCCGATCTGAAGCCAGGAGCCAGGGTCTTTCCCCTGGTCTCCCATGCGGGTGCAGGGCCCAAGGACCTGGGCCATACTCCACTGCACTCCTGGGCCACAGCAGAGAGCTGGACTGGAAGAGGAGCAACCGGGACAGAACCCAGCGCCCCAACCTGGACTAGAACCCGATGTGCTGGCGCCACAGGTGGAGGATTAGCCTAGTGAGCCGCGGCGCCAGCCCATTATTATTAATTTTGAAAGGCAGAGAGAGAGAGAAAGAGAGAGAGCACGAGATAGGTCTTCCATCTGCTGGTTCACTCCCCAAATGGCTGCAACAGTCAGCACTGGGCCAGACCAGAGCTAGGAGCCAGGAGCTTCCTCTGGGTCTCCTGAGTGGATAAAGGGGCTCAAGGACTTAGGCCATCCTCTTCTGTTTTCCCAGAAGCACCAGGAGGGAACTGGATTGGAAGTAGAGGAGTCAAGACACCACAGGCAGCAGCTTAACCCACTATGCCACATCACCAGCCCCAGTTATTTTTCTTTTTTAAAAATTTGTGAGTTCAGAGAGCTCCCATCCACTAGTTGACCCCTCAAATGCTTACAATGGCTGGGGACAGACACAGGATCTGGGGGTGCAAACAGGTCTCCAAAATGGATGATGAGAACTCAACTACGTGAGTAATTTCCACAGTCTCCCAGGATCTGCACTGGCAGGAAGCTGGAATCTGAGCCTGGAACTGGACCCAGGCATTCTGATTGGAATGCGGGCATCTTAAAAGCTAGGCTTGGGGCCAGCACTGTGGCACAGAGGGTTAAAGCCCTGGCTTGAAGCGCTGGCATCCCAGATGGGTGCTGGTTCTAGCCCCAGCTGCTCCTCTTCCCATCCAGCTCTCTGTTATGGCCTGGGAAAGCAGTGGAAGATGGCCCAAGTCCTTGGGCCCCTGCACCCACATGGGAGACCCAGAAGAAACTCCTGGCTCCTGGCTTTGGATCAGTGCAGCTCCGGCCATTGTGGCCATCTGGGGAGTTAACCAGCAGGTAGAAGGCCTCTCTCTCTGTCTCTACCTCTCTCTGTAACTCTGTCTTTCACATACCCGCCCCCCAAAAAAAGCTAGGCTTAAATGCCCATTCTTGGAAAATGTAGCTATTTTTCATAAAAATGTTATTTATGTTAATATGTGATGAGTTTAATGGCTGTTTTTACATGGATCATTAAAATATATTTTTGAATTTAAGTTTTAATTGCAAATGTAATATTGATAGACATAACCCATATGAGCAAAACATTTTTTAGTTCCTCAATAATTTTCTTGAAAGATTTATTTTATTTATTTGAAAGAGTTACAGAGAAAGTAGACAGAGAGAGAGAGCTTCCATCCACTGGTTCACTCCCCCAAATGGCTGTAACCGCTGGAGCTGAACCAATCCAGAGCCAGGAGCTTCCTCCAGGTCTCCCACGTGGGTACAGGGGCCCAAGAACTTGCGCCATCTTCTACTGCTTTCCCAGGCCATAGCAGAGAGCTGGATTGGAAGTAGAGCAGCCGGGGCTGGAATTGGCCCCCATATGGGATGCGGGTGCTACAGGCTGGGGCCCTTAACCCACTGCACCACAGCGCCGGCTCCCAGGTCCTCAGTAATTTTTAAGAGGGCAGGGGGAATCAAGATCTAAATGTCTGAGCCCCTCTGGCAGATAAGACACAGACCCTTCAAAACTTGTTTTCGGTAGGGAAAACCAGACATTTTTGTAGTTAAGCACATTTTGCATATTTGAGAATACAAATGGTTGGAGATACATGAAAAATTTACCTTTAATGAACAGCATGGCTTATTTGTCTTATGTGACTAATAGAAGCCTCCAGCTACCGATTCTAACAGGAAGTTGTTAATGGGTTATCGTCCTCAGGACACCTTACCTCTTCTTTCTCTAGTTTTGCATGTTTGCGCTCTGCAGCTACATTTTTTTTCTTATTAAAATTAAACTGTGCATCCTCTTCAGCTTTTTGTAACTTTCTTTTCTTTTCCTCATATTCTCTTATAAGCTCTCCTGACGTGCTGATTTCCTCAAAAAACTGTGTTCTTTCTTTGGGCTTTTTCATTGAAATACACTCTACAGTTCCCTTTGGAAAACAATAAAGCATATCAACAGGTAAAATGTAGTCATGTATTTGGAAAACCATGAATCAATTAAACTACAACAGCTACTTACCTGAAAAACAAGACAGTTCCGTGCTTTGACTATGATGCCTATCCTTTCCAACTCTGCTGTATAGGCAGAACGACTCACAGGATCATCATTAAAACGGAATTCTGAACATGTCCCTAAAATAGAACAAAGACTGTTACAGGAAACATGTGTCAGAAGTATCTCTAGTAACAAAATTATTTTTCCTATAGAAATGGCCAGTTATACAATAATAAACATGTTAATAAATATAATCAATCAAATATTGAGTATCTATGGTGTGCCAAGGACTGTTCCATAGCAGTGAACCAAATAGAAAAGTCTCTGATCTCAAGGAACATATATCCTAGTCAGAGAGACTCAAAATTGATATGCAAGTAAAATAAATCGGGGTGAGAAAGTGGTTAACTATTAAGGAGTAAAAAAGGACTGGGAAGGAGGAATGTAAATGTCTTTGTAAGAGAAAAACATACTGTAATATTTTTTTTTGACAGGCAGAGTGGACAGTGAGAGAGAGAGACAGAGAGAAAGGTCTTTCTTTTTTCCGTTGGTTCACTCCACAATGGCCGCTGCAGCCGGCGCACTGCGGCTGGTGCACCGCATTGATCCGAAGCCAGGAGCCAGGTTCTTCTCCTGGTCTCCCATGTGGGCGCAGGGCCCAAGCACCTGGGCCATCCTCCACTGCCTTCCCGGGCCACAGCAGAGAGCTGGACTGGAAAAATATACTGTAATTTTTAATAGGACAGGCAAGGAAATTCTTGCCGAGATGGACCCTTTTGAGTTAAAAATCCAAAAAAGTGGAAAAACTAGTCAACGAATATATCAGTGATAAAATGGTAAAATATTTAAATTACATAATAAGGTACAAGTACCTAGTAAGTATTTCTAAATTATCTATGCTTGAATTTGGGGGCAATCGATAAGACAGTATTTATACATTAGAAATGTTTTAGACCAGAATGAAAACAGTAACAAAAAAACCCCAAAACGCCTATTCACAGAGACTCTAAAAATTATAGCATAGGACAAACAAAATATATATAAACAAAAATATATAAATAACTTTCAATCTTATTCAGGAAACCAAAAATTCTTGAGTAAGTCACATAATACAAATTAAAACATTTCACTCAAGTTGCTTTTTTAAAGCAACTTAAAGGTAGAGATAACTGTCTATATACAAGTCAAAATACGCAAATCATCGCTAAGAAAGCAGAAAAAACATACAGACGCTCAGGAAGAATTTTTATGACTTTTCTGTATTTGAGGTAGGCTCCTTCCTTGATCTTAACCAAATGGCCAGATACAAAATTGACAGCAGGGTTAAGTTTAAACATAAAATGATTACTTAAGGAAGAATATTGGAGGATCAAACAGGTTCTACTACTTGCTTATGAGATTTGCTATCCAAGAGAAAAAAAGAACCAGTGGAATAATAAATTATACACTTCAAAGAAAAAACAGACAACCTAACTTAGGGCTTGAAAAAATCAAATAACTCATAGCATAAAGTCTACAAATAAATAAGTAAATAAATAAACAAACCTCGAATACTCCTTGCGAATGTCTTCTCTTCTCCACTGTCCTCCACATACACAATTTTTACACTTGCAGTAGAAGAAACAGGTTTTCCAATATGTGCTCCATGAATGAGTTCCTGAATGTTTTTCACTCTTAAATTAGCTGTCTTCTCTCCCATTACAAAACTAAGTGCATCCATTATATTAGACTTCCCTAAAAAAAAGAGAGTAAAAGAAGTTATTCATTCTTAATGCCAAAAGGCCTTCCCAGAGCCCCAGAAACCAGGCTGACAATGGAAGCAAAACACAGCCAGTACACATTTAAATAACCCACTCCATCTTGTCAATGTTTAAAATCAAGTGACTGAAAACTTTTAGATAAATCACTTATTTGTTCTTGGCAGCTGTGCATAGCATTAAGAGGTCTAAATATAAGGATATAAATACATGGA